TGGCGCGGGTGTGGCATCCACGTTATATCATCACATTTACCTCAGGCTATGTTCAATCCATAGAGTGGTTGTGATAGGGTCTAATCCATTGGGTCAGACACTGCACTTTCTCGTATTGATGGATTTTTCGACTTGTCAAAATCGCATTTCTCACGACAGGGGACATTATTGCTCGATTACGTCATTTGCATGTAGACGTTGGCTGATAAGCTCTTCTCTCTCTTTTTTTGGTGCTGAAATAGAAACCGAGATAAAGGTTTCTGGGGGATATTCCCGGGAACAGGAAGTCTCGAGTCTCTCGCGATATCACGAAATTTGCAGAAAACATTTTTACTGAGAATGTGGGAGCATGAGAGGCGCGGGAATATTCTGCTTAATGATTGATAAGAATTTTTTTAAAATGAAATTTCTGTTCAAAATCGCTTCTAACATCCACTAAATATTGTAATTTTTACAAGCCTTGCTGTATTTTCCACTAGAATTCTGGGATATTTGATTGAAATTGATCCGTGATTGAATGGAATGGTGAATTCGTTCGGTTTAATTGAATAGATTAGCAGAGATAACATTATCGATTTCGTTTTGTACACGATAGATTAATTTTCCTGTCCCATTAATTTTGAATCAATAAATGCATTGGAAAATAATGATTTTTATGGGAATTTTTGTAATTTTTGCCAACTGAAAAATGACTGAAATAGTGAGTCAGAATTTTTGATAAGCTTTTGTGGTGAATTTTATCAGCAGTTTCAGCCGGAAAACCGCAGACATCCCATTGTTCCGTTGGAGATATAAAATTGGCAGTGGAATGGCAAAAATTTCAAGAATTCTCGTCAAAACCTCGACTTTCCTCAAACTAGAATACTTTGGTCTGATAAACCATAACAAGGACATCCTGTCGGCACGATTTTCCCATTAATTTCCGTGGAAAATCGATCGGGAGACATCATCGGCCTGAGAGCTGGCATTTTGGCCGCACCTAGAGCACGAGTTGTTTCCTGATCGTGTCCATCGGAGATAACAAAAGCACGTAACACTGGCTTCCAACCGAGAAAAGATGACTATTCATCGGATGAATGATAAGATAGGGAATAAAGGACACTCATGAATACCCGAAGCCACATGTCTGATAAGACGCCTACGGGTTCCACTGTGAAAATCGTTAATACAAGTTCCCCCGAAACTGAATTCATCATCGGTTCAATTATAAATTGATGAATAATGACTAATGAGTACGCCAATTAGTATCGACTTTGTCCATATAAATAAATGGAGAGGGTCTAATTATCTTCGCGGTGTGTATCTAGGTCTCTCCATGTTGTGTACACAAACACTTTTTTTTTTAAATGGGCCAATAAGATTGAATAACCGGTAATGGCTGGCGGAAGGGTGTGACGGCGTGTTTACATGACGTTTATTGCAATGAAGAGTGATAAGAAATCACAAGGGGCAACGATATATTGACGATAGTGTTAGAGAAGGTGTCATGACACCAGCGAAAAGGGTAAGTGAGGCAAGAAACAGGAAGACTCGATTTTTGTAGTGTGAGATGAAAACGTTCATAAAATTTGTGATTAAAAATGAGAGTTTAGCGGACGCGGAAGTAAAAAAACTACTGAAATACGAGGAAAACTTTGCGCCATAAATTCTCAGCCAAAAGGGGATGAAAAAATCAGAAGGATAGCTCGAAAAATTTGCTCTCTCTCCAGGAAATGAATGAAACGATTTGAAGGTGATCTGAAGAGAATAAATAATTTTAATTGATGTTCAAAAATACGAGGTGGTTGACGGGTATGGGTGCCGCCATCTTGCTTGGATACCCCCTCCCTCTGCCACGAGGGGTTTCAAAGACGTCGACTTACTTATTCTCTTCGGATTATCCTCAACTCACTCCATTTAGATTTTTAAATTGACTGAAAATGAATAATGAAATTTCACAATTGACAGATAATTTTTAATTAATGATTTAGAATTGCAGATTACAGACCGACAGGGACATTTATTGAATGAGTAATTGTTCCCCAGTGTAAACCCGCAATTTCGTTCGATTGAAGCAATATCAGTTGTCGAACACTGTCATCGGTCTAGGGCCGGTATTAATTACGATGAGTTTATGTATCATCACATTTTCCCCCGTGTCCTTCGATGCCCAGTCAACACCTGGACTTTCGCCCGATCAGTGTTAATTTTTAAAAGCCATCGGGTTCATGCGACCTCGCTCGCTCGTAAATACCGCATTCACGTGAACTTTTTTTCTATTCACAAATAACTATGTGAAATTGTTTTTCTTTTGTAGGAACGAGAAAAGTTTTCATTGGAAAATTCATTCGCCTCGTTTGACGAAACGAAAGGACAAAAGTTGACGATTAATTCCTATTCTCGCCCGCCAGAGCCATACGCTGTCGTGTTTTTTTTTATTTTGTGGAGGTGAAATTGTTTTTAGGGAATGGGTGACACCAGGGGCTCAATAGAAAAGTCAATCGCTGATCTTTTATAACTCGCAGAACTCCCCGTTTTGCCTGGAGGCACCAAAACCTCTTCAACATCTTTTCATTCAGATTGAGTGGTTTTCTCATTAGCAACGGTTCAATCATAAATGTCTGGACTTCCTTAAGGAGAAATTAATTACAATGTAACAAAAGTCAAATGTCATTCCATAAACAAAGTAAATTCTCGCAATTAAACCAGTACTTCTCGAAGGTAACCGAAAAAACTCATCATGTGAAAAACTCATCAGTCCCGAAATGAATAATTGGCGAATTGAGAAAAATTCTCTGAATGTCACAAAACCCCAAGCCAGCAAATAACAAAAGTTGGTGATTAACGTTATCCTATTTGTTGATCAATGATTCTGTTCCCGCCCCCAGAGCCATACATTGTCGTTGTTTTGAAATTATTCGAGAGAGAATGAGTGATATCAGAGCGTCAATAGAAAAGTCAACCGCTGACCTTTAATAACTCGAAGAACTCTATTTTGCCTAGAGGCACCAAAACTTCTTCAATATTTTTTCATTCAGATTGAGTGGTTTTCTCATTAGCAATTTCGATTTAATCATAAATGTGTGGATTCCCTCAAGGATAAATTAATTACAAAACGGCAGAGGTCAAATGGTATTCCATAAACAAAGTTAATTCTCGCAATTAGCCGAGTACACTTCACGAAGGTAACCGAAAAAATTCATCAAAGTCATTGCCAAGTCCCCAAATGAATAATTCGAGCTTGAAAAAAAGTTGTCTGAATGTCACAAAACCACAAGCCAGCAAAGTCGATCAACAATCTTCAAGGGTAGGTAACAACACCATTATTTACATTCGATATGAAGCGAAAAAAACATTAAATAGAGGCGTAATCCACTCGTCATTCAATGACAAAAACCATGCTTAATGACTGATATAAATGACATTACATAATTTACAGGCACAGAGTGCTCGATTGAGCACTCTGTGCCTGTGGGAGAGAGAGAGAGAAAAAGCCCAGCTATTAACATTGCAAAATGCCATCTCTGTCGTGAAGATAATCCCGGGGAATTACGGAGTAACGAAAGCACAATGTTCTTCTCTCTCGGGAAATTGAAAATCATTCGTTGGCGGATAGTATAGTCTCAATCTGTCGTATGCGAGCGAGAATAAAACCTGTTGCTCACATGTCGGTGTGATGCAAAAGCCAGAGAGATCTTGAAACGTGTTCTCATGGCTCACCGGTGCACGCAGCATTATATCACCGATCATGACGTTATCAATTGTCAAATAAAAAGATCGAGGAAAATATAACTTGAGCATTTTCTATTTTCAGTTTTAAAAAATCACTTTGCGACAATCGAAATTCAAGCGTTGACGCAATGGATGAACCATGAGCGAAGAAAATGTGCAAAAATTGGCGATCGGATCGCGCAAATCACGGAATGAGGGAGAATTATCCTCAGATCTCTATCGATCTGAGAGCAATGATTAAAACACCTGCAGTGATGCAGAATTGCAAAGACGATCGTGTTTAATTAGCAGTGGAATTGTTGGAGTATTCATTGGGTTTACTTACAGATTAATTTTGCGCTGTCTCTGCTATGAAAATTCGGGAATGTTTGACGAGTCGCGTGAAGCGACATAACCCGCGAACAAAAATTTTTCAGCCATATTGTTTACGGATTGTGAAACGTGTACGTGTGAGTAATTGTAATGAACGGTGGTGAGCCCTACGGGTGCACTTGCACTCAACAATCACGAAGGTATTGTTTCGGGAGGAGATTGGAATACAGAGGGTGCTGCGCCGAGCGATGATTTTCGGAAGTTGTTTACAACTGGGGAATCTAGCTTATCGACTGGATTATGGGGATCTTCCCTAGAGATTTGGGAGAATCGCGAGGGTTTGAAAAATCAAATGTTTTTATTTTTGTGAGATTATAAATCACTTTTGTCTTGCGTACATTACTTATTTAGCTATGAAGGGGATGAAAATGTAGAAATAACTCAAAATTCTGGAAGTGGTTTTTTTGATTGAAGTGATCATTTATTTCACACTCTACACCATATCAATTCGTAATATTTACATTTCGTGCTTTAATAATTCGGTAATAAATGTGATACAACAAATATACAAATCAATAATTCAAGTTCACTAATCAACAGTTATTCCATAAATTTTCCTGCAATAAATCGTATGAGACAAATAAAAATGACAATTGGAACAAAATGTTTTTTGTTTTCATAAACTTAAAAATCATTTCTATTGTAATTTTATTGCATAAATTATTTATTTATGAAGACGATAAAATGTACAAATAATCTTCAAGAAATCTTGAAAGTTACTGTAATTCAAACTCATGAATTGACAATCGAATTTTTTGTTTTAATATGATTGAAGTAATTTTTTATTTCACACTCGACACTAGAGAAATCCATAATATTTACTTTCGGTGCGTAAATTATGCAGTAATAGATGTGATAAAACACATGTGCAAATAATTATCAATAATTCAAGTTAATTAATCAACAGTTAACATAAATGCTCCTATAAATTTCTTTTAATTCATCGTAAAACAACACAAACAAGCCAATTTTTGCCCTCGAAAATTGCTTGTTCAAATTAATTGAAAATAAAATTAACGAAACAGTACATTATTTACTGCTATCAAATAATAAAAAATTAATGATGGGGATTTATCACAGACACAGTCAGGTTCTGCAGTCGATTCATATCAAATAGTAACTACAGAGACGAAGGCAGTGCATTCAGATTGAAAAAGGATCCTGAATGGACTTTATCCTAATTTACCTTTTTCTGATAAAACTAATATCGAAAAATAAACTTCCCTTTTTGTTCCTCTTGAGAAGTAATGAAATGGTCGGTTTCAATGTAAAGATTGTATTATCAAAACTGAGAGGAAGATTGTAGTATCGAACAGGAGAAGAATCAGAGGATCTTGATCAATCTAATGTGAATCTAAATGCCCCAACCAATACTGCTACTCACTTTTTGCACAAATATCATCTAAATTACTTCCTAAATCATACTACTATGTGATGTGGATATACTGGTGCCTGGAATAATTAATTTTTTTTCAGCGTCTCCGGACTGGAATTGGGCTATCTCATCATCTGTCGAAATTTCTCCAGTTCAAAAATGCTTTCAGATAGCCTGAAAAAGAAAATAAAAATGTCCACTTCAATGTGTCAAACTCGAGAGATAAATTACTGTTGTGGAATGAGTTCTACCTTCCAAAGGCGTTCATCAGAGCGACGATTTCACTCCTCTCCAGATAAAACTGCTTCCTGCTGATATTGTTGACACTGGGCTCCCATCGATCGAATTTACCTGAGAAGAGGATTTTCAGGGCAGTGCCTAACCCATGAATTTGCAATTTTCCCCATAATTTACATTTATCACATCCCACACAATCCATTATTCTTGAGATGTTTCTGAAGTGCTGTCTGAATTCTTCCTTCAGTGTGGCAGCCTCTGCACCACCATTGAACATGCAGCTTTCGTTAAAATGGTCAGGGAATGATCTGCAGATTTAAAACATATTAGCAATTTAAAAAAATAGGAGGATCGTTCCATTCGCAGAAAAAAGAGGAATCAATTTACCTCACGATCTGCAAAACATCCTTGACAGCCATTCTCGTCTCCTCATCCGCAGCATCGTCCCCAGTATAATACTCTTCCTTCTCCAAATAAGGTGCAGCCTTATCCAAAGCCCTCAGTTCCAAGAGATAAATGAAGTAAAGATTCTTGAGCCAATTGGGCCCCTCACCCCCAGTCCTCTCCGGAGCAAATCGTCTGTAAAATTCCTCGAGATTGGAGCCCCACTCTGCAGTCCCCGAGACCAGACTCAGAGTCTGACCCTGGTAGGACAACAGAGACTTAGCAGACAAGTGAATATTGATGCTGGCATGGAGCCCCGAGATTACCCTGTAGAAAGCCCTTTTCTCCAGGCACATGCCATTCATCTGCGATGACTGGATGAAGTTGTGGGGACTCTTCTCGGGTCTGAAGCAGTTCTCCATGTATATTGTCCTCCATATTCTGTGAGCACTGGGCCCCCTGTAGCCAGTGAACTTCTCGGGATTCAGGAGGAGGTCTACGTATTCTCCAGGGCTTGTCTCTCTGACGCAGAAATTGTCCTGGGCGTCGTCGTGCTGCTGCCACCGCTCGAATTCTTTGTAATTCTCTGAGCTTATTGTGGTGTTGAGGTACCCCAGCTCTCGATTGTGATCCTTGGCTGTTTGCTCACAGTTTATCTGCTGATTCTCAGGGAGGTACTTGTCTACTGACACCTCTGCCTTGTGGAGGTGCCTGGGAATTTCTCCCTTGAGACCTATGGGGATGTCCTCCTAGAGAAAAATGCGTGAAAAATAATTTTGTGTGACCAAATGATGGATATTTCATTAAGAAAAAGATTAAAAATAAGAGGAGAAAAAAATAAGAATACCCAAGAAATTCCATTAAATTTTTATTCTCACGTGCTTGCTAATTGAAATAAAAATGATGACATGTGGAAGGGAATTATCACTCCGAAATGCAGAAAAAAAGGGAAAAAAATGATGATTGAACTTACATCTTGGCACGGCCTCACATGACAATGCCTCATGGAACACTTGCTGTCATCAGTCCAAAAAGGGCAGGGATTCAGCAAATTAACCTTGTAAAACCTAAAGTAATCCCTGACTAGGAGACTCTGCAGCCTAGGATGAATCTTCACATTGTTGAAAGAGTCAACAGTATCGACGCTGCAACTGCAGTCGTCGATTGATCCCTTCAGCTGAAAGACAAATAAACCAATGACATTGAACTTGTCCTCGTTATTGTTGACATACCGAGGAGGTTATGTCGAGACAAATAAAAAACACTCAACAGGAAGTGCTGGTGAGTATGAATAATCATACCTTGCAGAAACACTGGTCATTGGCTCTGCTATTAGTCCCAAAATAATGACTCGATGTCAAAGTTATTCCGCATAAGAGAATAAATATTATGCTCGACATTGTGGTAACTTTGTGCACCATTTCGTTGAACGAATTTTTTTATATTGAGCTCAATCGCACATGGATAATCTCCCGATTGTCGCGAACGTGGCAAAATGTGAATTTACCAGCAACATTAGAATCGAAGTTTGTTTTTTTTTTTTTCGTGACAGCTGATAGTCGCTATCAGCTGGTATTCATAATAAGCAATTGTAGCGATACTTCACTCGTTGCAACACCAATCAAAAACACAAACAAATTCGTGACGTCATTGGGGTTTGAAATAAATTGGAATTTTTTTATTTTCAATTTTTTTTTTTTTTAAACTCAGCGATCGCTTCCTCCTGCGTGAACCTACGGGTGTAAACTAATGGGGGAACGGGAACGCCGGGAATTTTTGGAAATGAGGAGCCTCCCCACCACTCGCGGAGAGAGTGCGTGCGCTATCCTAGGCTTTAGCTACGTGGAGGATAATCTGTGGCGGACGTGGACCAGTCGCTTGTAATTATAACTTTCGAAAAATTTATTTTCCGGCGAATTTTGAATAGAAAATCGTAGGAAAATCCAGTAAATTCGCTAGAAAATTCTATTGGATTTCTATCAGACTGACTCTGAGGGACAGTCCGAAATACTCGGGATTAATCTATTTGATCAAAGAATGTGGAAGTTTTTTCGTCATTCCTTTATCAATTACACCTGTGATAACACGACTTTTCATAAGAGATTTTATCGTGTACTCGTGCCACTACTCAGGGGTTCTAAAAAATTTTTAGGGTACTGAAATGCTCTTTGAAATTCCGCGTCTCGTCATCTTACCGCTGGAACATTGCTGCATGACCTTCTGCACGTAGAACTTTGGAACGTGACCCAGTTCACACGGACCGTCCGCGTGCAGCGCAGGTGGTCTACGAAATTAAAATGTTTTTTTTTTCGCATTTTCGGATTTTTTTTGCGCTTGCAGTTGCATAAAATAAAACCAACAATACTTTGTTATATTATCGTCTTTTGTTAATTTTTAAGGTTTCGATGCGCGAGAGCCCCTAGAGGAGCAAAATTTATTTATTTAGTACAATTGCTGTGTACTCGTTCTTTTATTCCGTCTCAATTTATTCGATAAACTGTTATTTATTATTATAAATGGGCAGGTACTTTGCAATATTTTCATAAATATTTCTTTTACATCATTTTTCAGATAGGAAATTAATTGTGTAATTAATATAGTTAATTGTGAGTTCCATTATTGGCTACTGCTGCTGTCGGACTCAGAGGAAGAAGAAAAAATAAAAATAACTAAAATGAAAATAATTTTAAAAAGCGGTCAACGCTAAAGCCCATTTAATATACTTATAAACCTGAGAATTGAACACATAATGAATGGATGACTTAAAGTTATTAGAATTTTATAAAGTCAGAACTGTTTCGCAAATTTCCGTGGCATTTCCCCGAGGTATAATACTAGCTGTTTCATTCCGGAAAATTTCTAGAGGACATAAGATATCTGGGCACCCAAGAACACGTAACGGATCGGCTTCCCCATTTCTTTTGTACAAGATCTGTTGGAAATTTGAAGAGATTAAAACACTGCAGCGGAATGAGACTAATTTCAACAGGAAAAGAAGAGTTTAGATGCTGTTAATAGTTAAGATGCCTTGTTAACAGCAAGTAAATCCCTCCAGCTTTTCTATCAGTGAGCGTTTACCTTCACATAATACTGTTGTTTAATCTCATGCAGTTCCAGGATAATAGCGCTGTTGTAATCAGGAAGGTGAGGCTCGTCGAAATTGTCCAGTGATACGAGTAAACTTCCAATATTTTGATCGTGACCGGACCAGGCAATCAATTTCTTATCTGCTCCTTTGTTTTTCAGGTACTTGTCAATATTTTCGAGCCACATTTTCAGCCACAGACCTTGAGAAAAGAACTTTGGTGAAGGGAAGAGAGAATACGACTTTGCTTTTCAGGGAAAATAAAGTCTGAAATGTAACGACCGTAAAATTCTAAAAACAAGGGTTTTTCTAACTAATTTTTAGTGATTTTTTAATTCTGAATTTCTGGGATTTTTTCTCCAGATTATCGTGAGAAAATCCTGCATTTTAAGAGAGTTCGGGAAAAACACTGCGTCAAAAATAAAAAATTGGTTCCTTTTCTATCAACTGGATGAAACGATTTGGGTGTGATTTCGAGAGGATACAAAATTTTGATAAAAGTTCAAAGATACGAGGTGCAGATAAGCGTGGGCGCCGCCATCTTGCTTGGCTATGAATTCCCTCTGCCGCGAGGAGCTTTAAAGATGGCAGTGCCCCACCTCGCATTTTTAACCATTTTTAAAATTTATTTATTCTCTTCAGATGACCCTCAACTCATTTCATCCGATTCCTATAAAATGAACAAATTTTTAAAGCCATTTTGCAGATTTTTTCATCCCCTTTTGGCTGAGAAACTAAGGCGCAAAGTTTCTTTTACTGTCTAGGCCTTTTGATGTCAGGATCAAGAGTCCTTTTGAACAGAACTGATAACTTGACCGAGTCCTCGATAAATTAGGGACAATCTCCTAGAAAGGAAAAAAAATTTCTTCTTTCCTGAAAATGTCATGATAATAGTAATAATTAAGTTATGAACCTCCTCCAAACTTCTTGAGTTCATCGGTGAACCCTTGTATAACGAAGACCATGGGAGCTTCATCCTTGAGTTTTCCCTCAGGGAAAATACCTTCAGACCACTTGGGTGGCTTCAGACCCACTTCCCACTGCAGAACCATCAATTTAATAGTTAATATCAATTCAATAATTTAAAAAAGGCGTTATGAACTGTTGATTCCCCGAATACCTGAGTTAACAGCGCGACGTAGAGAAAATAAGCCAGTTCATATGTACCATTGTACCCAGCGTGTCGTGATATATACTCGTAGAATTTTTTATTTTCCTCAAGATATTTAACCACCGCAGGCTCTGTCTTCTCGACAATCCTCTGCATTCTTCTGGAATTGTTGCACAGACCGGCAGCGGCAAAATAGAACCAGCTCTCCTCGGCATTTCTAGCCGCATGAATTGGAATTTGTCGCAGTTGGAGGGATTCGCTCCACCTGAACATTAAATTCGATGATAAAAAGAATAAAAAGATTATCATGATTGAAAATTTAGAAAATTAATCAATAATCTCCAACTTTTCATCGGGGTCTGAGGGGAAGAGACCCGTTGCTACCAATCTAGCAGTCACTGTGGTTCGAGGAACCATGCTGGCGAAGAATTTCACTGCATTTTCACTTCCCAACCATTTTCCATAAGCTTGTCGGTAGAATCTTCCTAGTTCGTAAGATCTTGCTTTCCCAATCTAAAAATCAAAGAATGATTCTCAGAAATTTCCAAGATATTCTTTCGATAATTAATAAAAAGAAGAAATACATCCAATATTTTTCATCATATTCTCATCTTGCAGCATCTTGCTAACAATAAATTCCAATTCAGTAACGAAATGGTAAAACGGTTCAAGTCGATTTAGCCCTAGGTTGAGCTTTCGAGGAATATCCACGAATCTAAGGGAGATAACGAAATGTTCGTAATGACCTTTTTTGTAGCCCTCAATTCCCTCTATAAAAAAGGTCTTGACAAAAATTTCATCATCTTTCTTAGATTTCGAGAAATTCATTGAAAACTGGCCAATGGTGAAAATCGACTTGAACCGTTTTACCGCTTCGCTACTGAAATTACAATTTTAATTTTTAATTCCATGAATTTTTGTCATTTGTACATTTGTCAAGGCACCGGCGGGTATCGGATGATGATCTCTCGGTGTGTACGGATTATTCGGATAAAAATTGGTGCGAAATCGTGAAAAATCATCGGGAGTGCGATCTCCGTGACGAAACACAGTCTGAACTAATTGCAATTTTCCGATAGCTTCTCCTCCGTTATGAAGAAGAAACATTATCATACAGGCGATTCTGCAGATATTCATGACCACTGCAGAGTTCGTGCACAAGTTCTTCAGATACTGGCGGTCACTCACTGAAATCGCACGTTTGCGAGTTTTAATCAATCAAGAGAAAGCCACTGATCATATAAGCTATTCCGACGATATATATTTACGTGAGAAATGTGGAAATACCCGCTGCATATCGGTCGGAGGCATGAGAATTAACGAGTGAATAAACAAGTCGGCTGGTGAACTGTATTTGTCATACAGAACACATAAGTTATTCTCATGTTTCCGAGAATGGGATTGGTGGATATTGTTTTCACTGGGGGAATTTTAATGGTTATAATTTAAATCCTTATCGTAAATATTTTATTTTATTCATAAGCCTTAGAATACTAAGGCTTATCAAATTCAAATATGTGATTTTGATCCTTATTGACTGCGATCATTGACGCTAAGGAAAAAAAATTCCACGTGAGCATTACACGGCCTCGAAAGGAAAAAAAATCGTGAAAAATCTTTCGCCATGAATTCTCAGCCGAAGGGGAATGAAGAAATCTGAAGGACAGCTTAAAAAAATTTGTTCATTCTCTAGGAACTGGATGAATAGAGTTGACGGTGATCGACAGATGCTCAATAATTTTTTTAAATGTTCAAATGTACGAGGGTTGCCCCTCTCTCTGTCGGAAGGGGCTTAAATATGGCGGCGCATTCACCTCGCATTTTTCAACATTTCTTAAAATTATTTATCCTCTTCAGATCATTCTCAGCTCGCTTTAGTTGATTCCTATGGAGGGAACAAATCATTTAAACCATTTTTCAGATTTTTCTACGCTTTTTTGGCTGAAAATTCATGATACAAAATTTGTCCGGCATTTGTGTAATGACAGTTGGAGATTGCCACGATTCCAGAATCTCCATCCAGGAGCTAACATGGGAGATAAAATTAATCGTAGAAGCTTCAACTCAAGTTTTAATAATTTTATTGGATATGTGTGTATCGACATGGAGATGGTATTCAGTCTTATTTCATAAAATTAAGCTCCACTGTTGAGTGGATTTACATGAAATATGTCAATTTCTCATTCGATTTTTTAAAATTTTATGCGTCGTTCTATCGTTTCCTATTATTCTAGATTAGAGCAGCTCTCCGCACGCTTTCTTCGGGTCTTCAGGTAGAATTGAAGCGAATTTCTTCTTGAATGTTTCAAATCGGCAAAACAAGTCGTCGCATCCGGAAATGAACAGTGGCTCGAGGTATAAATCTCGTTTGTACAGAATCTGCAAGAAATTTGTGATGATGAGGAACTAATCTTCTCCATGCCGATGTTTAAAACAATCGAGGCATGAACACCTCACCTTGACGTAATACTCTGCATCAATCTGATGCAACTCGAGGATTATAGCACTGTTGTAAGGCGGCACATGAGGCTCGTCGAAAGCTTCTAGAGCAACTAGTAAATCTCCGACGTTTTGATCGTGACCTGACCAGAATAATGCCTTTCGTTTGGGCATTTTTCCAGATATGAAATCCTCGATATTGTCCAGCCACATTTTCAGCCATACACCTTATAAAAAAATTCTCATGTTTAATTGACTATACGAATTGATTTTTCACGAGACTTTTGGTATTTTATCCTTAACTTTTCCTTGCAAAAATTCCGAGAGGTCTAATTCAGAGGTAATTTCCAGCGAATTGTTATTATTTTTGATCACATGTTTTTAAGGCCTCGGAAAAACTTTGCGTCATGAATTTTCAGCCAAAAGGAGATGGAAAAATCTGACCGATAGCTCGAAAAATTGGTTTTTGCTCTAGAAACTAGAGCACGACACGTGTTGAATGTAACAGGTGACAGGTGTAGGTGCCGCCATCTTGCTGGGATACCCCTTCCTCTGTCGGAAGACGCTTCAAAGATGGCCGCACCTCAACCTCGCATTTTTAAACATTTTTAAAAATGATAAATCCTCTTCAGATTATCTGCAACTCCCTCTAGCCGTTTTCTGTGGAGTGAACCAATTATTTAATCCATTTCTCAGATTTCTCCATCCCCTTTCGGCTGAGAATTCATGGCGCAAAGTTTTTCCCGCATTTCAAGGCAATTTTGACTATTAATCAGTTTTCAATAAATATCTCGGTATCTAAGGCAAATAGCAAAAATTTTGTTATAACCTTTTTTATAGCACTTAATTGGCTCTACAAAAAAGGTTATTATGAAAATTTCGCTATCTCCCTTAGATTCGGAGATATTCTTCGAAGACTTTGAAAACTCATAATTAATGAAGTAATGAACCTGCGCCGATTTTCTTCAATTCATCATTGAGTCCCCGTATCCTGAAGGCTTGTCCAGCTGCGTTTTTGAGCTTTCCCTCGGGCATGAGACCCTGCGTCCACTGGGGGGCTGCAAGACCCATTTCTATCTACACGCGAAATATTAGTTGTCAATTATGATCCTTCCCTGATAATGTATTATCTTGGAAATGTACCTCGGCGGTGATGGTGACATAAAGTATGTAAGCAAGCTCGTATGTACCATTCATCCCAGCATGTTTGGATATAAATTCGTAGAACTCTCTATTATTCTCGAGATATTTCATCAATTCAGGATCTGTTTTCTCCGCGAGCTCCTGTTGCTTCTTGTGATTACTACAGAGGCCTACCGACGAGAAATAAAACCAGGCGTCGTCTATTGATGGAGCCGATTTTAGGGGGATTGGCTGCCAGTCGAAGGCGTTATTCCATCTATTGAGAAGATGTAATAAAGATTTTACCTATTTATAATTTACAATGTGGAATTACTGAATATTAAAAATACGTAATTAGGATGTTCCACGGGAGTTTCAATAAGAAAAATTATGGAACAATGGTCGATTTATTTGACCTGAGAAGAAATAAAAGGGAAAAATTTATACTTTTCTTGAAGCTGCGGTGGATAAAGACCGCTCGCCACCAACTGACCAGACATTTTCGTTCGGTCCGCATGACTGCTGAAGAATCTTACGATATCCGGATGTATGCTATCCCCCAAGAATTTGTCGTACCTCTGACGGAAGAAGGTTCCCAGATCAAAAGCCCCGTTTTTCCCCGTCTGAGAACGAACATCTCGTTTTCATAAAGCTGTAATCAATTCTTTGAGAATTATTTAGGAGATTATTAGTATTTTACATTGGTCAGTCCTCCATTGGGCACCGGATACCAATCCTTCGAGCTGTAGGGATCGGTCGGGTACCACTCAGGGAGGAAATCAGGAGTGCGATCCCCGTGACGAAAGACCGCCTGAAGAAATTTCAATTCGCCTTTGGACTGGCTCTCCACAATCAGAAAAAATAATACAACACAAGTGGATAATAAAACACTAGTATTCATTATGAATAACGAACAGTTGGAGTATTAGTTTCCGCAATTATGTTCATTTATCAACTGATAGGGAAAATTATCGGGAGCTAGAGTCGGTTATCTCTCGGTGGAATCATAAAACCCCCCAATTTGTGCAAGGATTTTCGTACTCAGGGTTAACTGTCACTCGTCAGAGATTTCCAGCATCACACGTGTGTCATGCTGAATGAGTAGCGAATGTTGACATTTGATAACAAATTCGGGGGATTAGATCTCCTGAGACATCTCATACTGAAATATATTTTAAATGCATTTTAGTTAAACCCCTCGCTGACGATAATGAGATAAGCATTAAAGCAAATATTGGTTGGGTTTCAGGGGAAATACGAGCGTGTTCTAAATTTATGAAGACGTCTGCTTTGAAATATCGATGCCAGACGCATCAATAACACTTTTATGAAGGATTTATCGACTACAAATCAATTTTCGAGGGGAATAAACAAAAATAAAAATTAAGGAGTCCGTTGACACGAGAATGCGAATTGAAATTTGCCCGTGCACACGGGGGGAGACGGAAGTAGCCGAGAGACTCCGATCGCAGTTGACGGAATGTAAACATGGCGAATCGCACGGTTAAGGACGCAAAGTCAATTCGAGGGACTAATCCTCAATATTTAGTGGAGAAAATCATAAGATCACGTATTTACGATTCTAAATACTGGAAGGAGGAATGTTTCGCTCTGACTGCGGAATTGTTAGTTGATAAGGCCATGGAGTTGAGGTGAGGGGTCATTCTAACCTCAATATTTGTTGGCATGTCTCTATTTCTCATGACCAATTGATTATTTAATAATTTTTTCATAATGAAGTCGAAATTTCCACATTCAATCGTCAATAACTCAAGATCAGCAGAGTGAAATTAAAATTTTTTTTTTTCATTTTGGAGGAAATTGTTTAGGCTTCAAAATGAGACCTGACTCACCCCAATCGCTTCATTTTGTCAGAATATATTCGTCATTCAAGAACTTTCATTTTACCTCCCCATTTCCCATCTCATTTTCTGTAGCAAAAATAACTTGAATAATTAATTAAATAAACTTCTCCTTAATTGATTAATTTACTCGACAGATACATCGGTGGTGTGTTCGGTGGAAACGTCAAGCCGACCCCCTTCATCTGCCTCATCCTAAAGATGCTGCAAATTCAGCCAGAGAAGGATATCATAGTGGAGTTTATAAAGAACGAGGAATTCAAGTACGTGCGTGCCCTGGGTGCCCTTTACATGAGACTCACTGGGACATCATTGGATTGTTACAAGTACCTGGAGCCCCTGTTCAACGACAATCGAAAATTACGACAGCAGAATAAACAGGGGCAGTTTGAGCTCATCCACATGGACGAATTCATCGACAATCTGCTGAGAGAAGAGAGAAGTTGCGACGTAATTCTCCCTAGAATACAAAAGAGACACGTTCTGGAGGAGAATAACGAGCTGGAGGCCAAAGTATCAGCCCTCGAGGACGACATGGACGATGGGATGGAGACCTCGGAGGACGAGGAGGTCCCACCGTCCAAGGAAGAAATCCGAAAACGAGGGGATGATTATGAGAGGGATCTGAAACGCCACAGGGACCGTGACAAGAGGCACTCGAGGTCTGAGAAGAAATCTGAACGAGAGAAGGCGAGGTCCAGGAGTCGAGAGAGGGAGAGGGATCGCAGGGAGAGGAAGAGGAGTAAATCACCTAGGTCTTATTCCTCTCATAAGGATAAGGAGAGGGACAAGGATCGACACAGGAGGGACGACAGGGAGAGGGATAGGGAGAGGAGACGCGATCGAGATCGCAATAGGCATTGATCTCAATGGATCTACAATTGATATAATTTTTTTTAATTTTCATCACTGTACATAACATAACAGAATTATTCTTCCGGATGTGGTACGATTGTACGTTAATAAAGTTTTTCATCGAATTATTGAATTCAATATTTGTTTTGCCCAAATTGTCACATGGTTCAGGATAACTATTTGTTGTCACAGACGTATCGAAAGTGAGGCTCCTCCAGAATTATTGGGCCAATAAAATTCAAGTATTTTCCAAGTATTCAAGTATTAGCCGCTTCATGTTGAGGAATTTTTCAATATGAAAATAATTCCACATTCACTCAATTTCAATTATTGACTTTTATCACTTTATATAACATAACTGAATATTTATTCAGATATAATACAATAGTAAAATGTATTGATTCATTATTTACATGAAATCATTGAATCACATCTATTTTCTCATTAATTTCAATTCTCAATTGTGTGCAATTGCAATTGATTGAACTTTTTACATATCAAACTGCACCAAAAATGTGATTAATTATTTACATCAAATCATTGATTTCAATCCTCATTTTCTCACTTGGATCACCCAGATAATGAGCAGAGTAGAGGCATGGAATTATTTTTTGTTCATTGAGAATGTCTTCTAGGGTTTATTTAGAATGTCGGTGAGTTGAGGATGAACAGTCTGTCCTCCTCCTTCTTGATCCACTTGAGGAGCTTGCTGACTGCATTTATGGCGTCTGGTTTCGTTACTAGGGGCTCAAACGTTACGTACAATTCAAATCCAGAAGTCACCTGGGGAAAGCAAAACGTTCATCAGTCTCAATTCTCTCAGTTTCGTTTGATTTCGGTATTTACCCATGCGAGCATTGTCTCCTTATCCAACTGCTGGAATATTAGTTTCAGTGGACGACTGGGGGCATGTAGGCGATGATGGAGGCACTGGTACAACCCCAATAATCTACAAAACCAAAATAATTAAATCATTAAAGTGAATTTCTTGCTGAATACTTTCTCCTCTCAATGTACCTCTCAATTTCCTCATCCTTGACATAAGGTGGTTGAAAGCCAGGACTCCAGAACTGTGCAGTGCTCCTGCACTTGTAAAGCACATGGCGCATCTCAGGCAGTCCAATCTCTCCCGTAGTAACAGAGACTCGATTCATCGACTCATTGATGGCCTCCAAGCAATTAGTTCTCCTCAATCTCTCCACTATCTTCTGTTTCGCCTCTGACAACGTCGAGAAGACATCCCTGTCGACAGTGAGGAGTAGCAGACAGGCTTGACAGTCCTCAGCCAGATAAGACACATGTGCATGCATGAATCCATTGGAGTCGAACTTGGGTAGGCAGATTGGTGTCCAGCCCTCGGCAGTCTTAAAAGACTCAGAACTATCAATGAGATTCTGAATTAAATGCAAGTCTGCTGGATGAATGAAGAACTTCTTCATCCTCACGAGAGTAACGAGCTGATTGTTGGCTAATAAAATAGCGAAAACGAGATTTTTTATTTTCCCACAGGTCTGAACAATGGTCTGAGTGATGGAGTCCCTCATGGATGGGAGCAGGGGAAGGCACTTGACGGCCCCCAGGAAAAACGCTGGCTCCCTGTCCATAAAATTCAGCAAATGATCAATCAACCTCTCGCTGCCAGTCAATAATCTCCTCAGATCAAAGTTTCTCCTCTGGTCGTAGACTCTCGTGAGTTGTGACTGAGTCAGAACGAAGAGAATCTGATTGTACACATATGTCAGCTGTAAAACCAGCTGGGGAACACTCTCCAGAGTCTTGGATACTGCCACCAGGATCAGGGGTCCCTTCAACAGAAATACGAAATTAGTGTCTCCAGCGTGGACCGATCTGATCATGTCATTTCCAGCCTGGACGAAGGACACGAGCGCCTGCATCACTCCCATAACAGTAACGAGTTTGTCCTCTGGACTGTGCCTGGAGTAAACTGGCTTTCCAGCCTGACTCAGCACGAATATGTGCTTCTTCTGGGCCAGCCACTTTTTGCATCTCAAGGGGTCAGTGTCCAGGTTGCACTGGTTCAGTTCATTCGTCGTCTCGTCGACGTCAGACTCGTCCAGGGAGGGATTACCCTTGAGTTTCATGAGGTTAATCTCACTGTTCTCTCCTTTGGATAATTTTATTTTGTCTCCTGGGGGATGAGCCTCAGTGTCTTTGTGTCTGTCGTCGATGCTGCTGCTCATCTCTTGCTCGTACTCCTCGAAGCTGTCAGTCGTCACCAGCATCGTCTCTGTGGATGCTCCAGGCTCGATCCCCGGCTCCACGATCCCATCGTCCACAGTCGCTGCCTCTGATGCCATCTCTGATTGTCAATTCACTTGATTAAAGTACTAGGTTTCAAGATTTTGTTTTGTAATCATCACTGTCAGCGCAAATGGTTCTCCTGTGATGGTCTGCCTCAAGTTATCAGTTTCATTATCACTTCACTGAGGTTTTCGGCACATAATTTGGGGAGATTCTTCTGATTATTAATTGGTTTTGGTGATTAGGGGATTAACGAGGGATTTATTATCTTCTCCACATGGTTATGTTCTCTAGGATGATTATTATTAGATGATGCACTTATTTATTTGTTTGTTGTTCTAATCTCATAAATCATTTTGGAGTAATTATTGTCAGAGATAGGAGGAACTAGTGGGATTTCCTCACTTTGGCAGTACTGAATTGCGAGTGTCATCGATTCTCATGAACCGCAATGGATTTGGTTGACGACAAGTTTGGAGCTGCCTTTCGCCAATACAACACAGATAGAATATGTCAAGAATCTAGTGATGGCGGCGTTATTGAAGGTTAGTTGTCATTTTTATTAAAAATCGAAATGTTAATAATTTTATTTGGGTTTTGTGCGGATGTTTTGGTGCGTTGAATTGGATTCGGGGTGAGAACGACGGGTTTCGGGTCTGCAAAGAATATTTTTGGGGGTTTTAGGGATGTTTGAGGAGTACATCTCATGTTTTTGAGGCATGAGAAATTTCGTATTCTTTACGTCTTAATTTTAGAATTTTTTATTCACTCGGAATTGAGGAAATTTTTGGGGTGTTATTTTTTGGTTTCAGGATGATTGACTGCACGAAAATTTTGGTAATTTTTGGGTCATTTGGCGAATTGTCAGGTGATCCGAAGGACAACATGAAACCGGGATTCCGGTGTGCCAGGATTTTGAATGATTTCAGTTATTTATTTGGAAATTTCAAAGTTCGTTTGTCATTTCTATTAAAAACTGACATGTTAACAATTTTATTTAGGTTTTGTGTGGATATTTTCATGCGTAGAATTGAATTTGGGGTGAGCACGACGGGTCTTGGGTCTCACGAGATTATTTTTGGGAATTTAATAGGTGTTTGAGGAGTGCATTCCACGTGTTTAAGTAATTAACAGCTTGATTTCAGGATTTTTTATTCATTTATTATACTTGAGGATTTTTAAGAAATATTGAGATGATGATGATAATTTCGAGGTCTTCACTCATTAAATTAATTTCAGTACAAAAATGAAGCTTCGTTTTTTTTCTAATCATCAACATCAGGCACCAAGAATCTCATAAAAATATTTAGACAATTCTAATAATTACCCAACAGGATAGAGGTCAGATACCATTCGAGGAAAAATGGCCATCGATGCGACCAATAATCCTGAAGCTCCTGAAGCAAGAGCCAGTGACGCAGGCAGAATGGCAGGATTTATTCTACTCCGTCCACTTGGTCTGCATGTGGGACGAGAAAGGAGCCCTGAAGATGAAGGACGCCCTCAGGGAGGACATAATGGATTTCATTCAGCAGGCGCAGCAGCGAGTGCTGGCCCACCAGGAGGAGCAAGCCCTGTTGAAAGCTTACATCGCAGAATGGAGGAAATTCTTCACGCAGTGTAACTACCTGCCGACCCCCTTTCGCCAGCTGGAGATGTCTCTAGCTGGGAAAACAGCGTCGAGTATACAGAAGAGGAATCCGGCCGAGGAGAGTATCGTTAAGAAGCTTATGTTAGATAGTTGGAACCAGAGTATATTCAATGACATCAAGAAGCGCCTGCAGGACTCAGCGATGAGGCTCGTGAGAGCTGAGAGGAATGGAGAGGCCTTTGATTCACAACTGGTGATTGGGGTCAGGGAGTCGTACGTCAATCTCTCGGCAAACGTTGGCGACAAACTCCAGATTTACAGGGAGAATTTCGAAGCTGCATACATCGAGTCCACAGAGCAATTCTACTGCGTCAAAGCCCCCGAACAATTACAGGCTTATGGGGTGGAAAGTTACATGAAGTACGCTGAAACTAAACTACGGGAGGAGGAGTTGAGAGCCCAGAAATACCTCGAGCCCAACTGCACGAGTGTCCAATTACTGACAGAGTGTTGCGTCAGGGTCCTGGTGGCGGCCTTCAAGAGTCCCATCCTCGCCGAGTGCCCCAGGATGATCAGAGACCATCAAACAGCGAAACTTCGACTGATGCTCAAACTCATGGATCGAGTCACCGATGGCGTTGGACCTATGCTGAAGGACCTCGAAGATCACATATCGAGTGCTGGTCTTGCTGACATGATGGCAGCTGTCGACGTCATCACCCAGGACTCGGAGAAATACGTCGAACGTCTGCTGGATCTCTTCAGGAGATTCTCGGCACTGGTGAAAGAGGCTTTCGATGATGATCCCAGGTTTTTAACTGTTCGTGATAAAGCTTATAAACTCGTCGTCAATGACTCGACGGTCTTTCGACTGGAATTACCGTCCAAGAGTTCTGGCTCATCTGCCGCTGTTGGTGGTAAACCAAACAATAATAATAATGGTCAACCGGAGTCAAAGTGCCCGGAGTTGTTGGCTAATTACTGTGATATGCTTCTCAGGAAGACACCACTTAGTAAGAAACTTACGTCTGATGAGATTGAGAGTAAACTCCGCGATGTTCTTCTCGTGTTGAAATATGTGCAGAACAAGGATGTCTTCATGCGTTATCATAAGGCTCATTTGACGAGGAGATTGATACTGGACACATCGGCTGATTCTGAGAAGGAGGAGAACATGGTGGAGTGGCTGAGGGAAGTGGGAATGCCAGCCGATTATGTCAATAAACTCGCGAGGATGTTTCAGGATATCAAAGTGTCTCAGGATCTGAATCAGCAGTTCAAGGAGCAGTGCAGGGCCACCATTGCAGACAGCATTAACATCAAGATATTGAATGCTGGGGCCTGGGCGAGGAGCAACGAGAGGGTCACTGTTAGCTTACCACTTCAACTGGAGGATTACATCCCTGAGGTTGAGGAGTTTTACAAGAAGAAACACAGTGGGAGGAAGCTACAGTGGTACCATCACATGTCCAATGGCACCATCACTTTTGCCAATCAGGTGGGGAGGTTCGATATCGATGTTACGACCTTTCAAATGGCTGTTCTCTTCGCCTGGAATCAACGACCACTCGAGAGAATATCCTACGAAAATCTGAGATTAGCTACGGAATTACCGGATCCTGAGTTGAGGAGGACTTTGTGGTCACTGTGTGCATTTCCCAAGCTCAAGAGACAGTTGATTCTGGTGGATCCACCTGCCTGCAGTCCCAAGGATTTTACGCATGATACTAGGTTCTGGGTCAATCAGGAATTTGCTATTGTGTAAGTTTCTGGGTAAATCAGGAAATGCCAATTTAATGTTACTCTTCTAAAAATTACCAGTCAACTATCCACGAAATTTGAATTTTCTACTAACAGCATTAATTATTTCACAGGAAAAATGGAAAAATCCAGAAACGAGGGAAGATCAATCTCATCGGGAGACTGCAACTGTCAACTGAACGCAGCAAAGAGGAGGATAATCAGTGCATCGTGCAGCTGAGAATATTAAGGGTTCAGGTAAAGTATTTAAGAAGAATTTCAAGAGAAGTGTCTTGAGAAATTTCTATTCAATGTCTTGGATTTTTCTACTCAACAGGAGGCGATAATAATAATTCTGAAGATGAGGAAAACCATAAATAATGCCCAACTCCAGACAGAACTGATCGACATCCTGAAGAATATGTTTTTACCGAGCAAGAAAATGATCAAAGAGCAAATTGAATGGCTGATAGAGCACAAATACATAAAACGACATGATGACGATATAAATACATTCGTCTACGTGGCATAACCCGAGATCTCGAGATTGTGTATGTTCCTCTTCCGTTTCATCAATTGATGTCATGTATATTTTTATAAAAAATCCTAAGATTTCTACCATTTTTTTTTTTCATTACCAACGAAGAGAAAATCAAGAGTAATCAAATGAAATCTATATTAAACTGATGGCCTAGGGAATAACAATTTGAAACAGAAATCATGTGATTATTGGACAGTTTAAAATTCTCAAAATGTCTTCAAACAAAATATAAATATTAAAAGTAAATAGTTTAGTGTCCAATGGATGAAGTCAGATAGGGAAAATCTTGTATAAAGCCTTCAATAATATTTCAATGATTTAATTAAGCGTGTAACGTGTACAAGTTTAAACATCATTGATTAAACAGAATAACATTTTTCAAATTTTCGTTTTCAAATGTCTTATTATTGACTCAATACATCCTTTGCATTTCTTTATCCATTTAAGTTTGATTCTTGGGATGATTTATTTTTTTATACACATTGTTTAGTTAAACCACCTAGGCCAGTACACACGAATGGCGTCTGAGCATCAAAGCACATCGTAAATGATAAACTTCATCTTTTAAGTACTCCGTTATTCGAATATTTCTTCTTTGTACTGTCAGATTTACATGATACGATATAGTTTTAACTGGCTTTTAAGCACTCTGAGAGAAATTTTTAAAAAAATCTATAAAATCAAATAGCTTTACAAAAACAAACAAGTAGTCTAGTAACTTTGGCATCACTATTTATCGTGAATTAAATCATTATCGTTTGATCTGCCTCATGAGATTGTTTCACTTTGATCTTGAACTATTTTATTCAACAATATAATTCCAAATTTTTCGAGGATCAACAGTTGTTAAAGAACGTATCAACTAATAGTTCAAAATTCCTTATTCGAACAAAAGGTTCTGACGTTTGTCTTCTTCCTGCTAATTAGTTTTTTTCAATTAGACTACGGTTATTTATGCACATCTCTCATACATACAAGAAATTACACCATCAATTTCATATTTATATTTTGAACATTGTCCACACGAATTTTCATCGGGGGAAAAAATACAGTTTCTTCCTCTCTTCATATTTCTATATGATTATTTTTCTTCTGAGGATGTACCTGACATCCAGGATATATATATTGATCACATGCGTTATTACATCGCGATTCCATCTTTGATTTTAATAACCACGTAAATTAAACATTTGAAATGCGACTTTAATCCTGATTTTCCTAATTTTCTTGAGAAGATAATTTTTATGTATCATAAAGTCAATTCAATCGCTAATAGAATGCAGTTAGCAATAATTTTTCGTATTTTAATGAGATTCAGAGTCATCGATCGATGAGAAATCGACTGCCCTTTTTAAATTCGATGTTTAACGAGGCTAATTCGCCTTCAATAATTAGCTTCAAGTTTCGTCGCACTTCAGATACATTTATTTAAGATATTTAGATCGAAGCAGAAACGACAGAATTTTTTTTTACCGGGGTTTCTCGTTACAGTCCAATATCACTAGTGCCTAAACCATTGAGTAATAGCATATTAAAGTCTAATTTCGAGTACCTCTGGTTGTTCACCTCAATCCCCGATTTAATTGTCACAGTAAAGTAGTTTAGCTCAGTTCTAACATCTATGAAAACACATCTGAAGATGGCAAAATATATTTCCAACGAGAAAAGACGCTGAACACGTATGATAAAATTTCATTAATAAACCTAGTGAATTAATTCAAAAAATCCTGTTGGCTGTCTACTATTTTTGCGCAGATGTTATTGACAATTTCCGCAGCTAATCTGCATGTTTTTTTTTCAGTAGAAATGTCCAATGGAAAAGATTCTGTAGAAATTCATCGGCGCAAATTTTCAATTTTTTTAAATGGAAAGACAATAAAAATGGAGTGAAAAAAAAATTTGTAAAATTGTATTGTACAGAATTCACTAGGTTTTTCAATGAAATTTTTTCGTGTATCAAGTAACGAGAACACGTACTCGTAGGTACATTCAGATATAGAATAAACGAATGAGTTGTGGAGTGAAATAACGAGATGATTCCCAGTGTCTTCACCTAATTATTTCACTTCAGCGCTAAAATACAGGACAGCCAGCTTGCATTTAACATGTTAATCTCCCTTTTTCTCCATAAATATTAATATAATTTCGAGTTAGATTATTTCTCCACAGCGAATGGAAATGAAACATGCGCACAGTAACATGTATGAAGCTTCTGAGATCACAATTGAAATTGAAAATTAAACAGTTTTGCATGACACGTATTATCTCTTTATACCTGGTCTTGATATATATTTCCGGGGTTCTTCGGAATGCCTCAAATTGGATTTTTATTCCCTTTCTCGTGACTTTTATTTCGTGTTTTTTGTCTGGATGGATTCAATCGATATCATTTGCCATTGACTCTGTTGCAGTTGATCGGGGGATAATTTAATGCTCGGGACAACGTGTGTGTTGGATGGGGGGATGTCTCTGGGGGGGATTCGTAGTCTCACAGACGTGAACCACGATGCCGGGCTGACCAGAGCCTCCTGCATGCAACTCGTGTGTTCCTCCTTAAAAAATTTAATTTCATTAAATTGTCATTTAATTCATTTCATCAACTTAAAATAACAAATTTACTCTTGGCAGCAAGGTTTTTTAATTTAATTGTTTCCGAATTTTGGGACAATTATTAATTACCTGGAGATAAATTGGCAATGGCAGCCAGTAAATCTTGATTAACTAGTGGTTCACCTTCCTCTTTGGGCTGCCATCCAACGGGGGGAGACGCTGGAGGGGATATTAGGAACTGTTTTGTGAGGGCTGGCGGCTGGAGATGCTGATCTTCTATGTCTGAAGACAATTTAATCATTTTAATTTCACCTGAATAATTTTGTTTTATTCAGTTCTCATAAAATAAAAGGGCTTCTTCATTTTGTTTTATTGAATTGATAAATCTAATTAAACGACTCGGATTATTGAAATAAAGGAATTTATGTAATTTTGTTTACCTATTGGCGTCACTGGCTGGGCAAAATAACAATTTATATCAGTTTCCCCATGACGTGTTTGATGCAATTGTATTCGAGCGTGAGCAGCGGCACTGGGTGAGTTGTAGTTGACTCTCATTCTTTTGAATGATTTGAAATACTGAAATGTCGCCTCCTCCCCAAATTGTTTAAATAGATGTTCGATATCAGCCTGTCGACACAATCATCGATTAATCATTTCCTTCGTAAAACTGCAATTGCTGTTCTGTTCTGTCATGTTTTGTTATGACAATAATATTAAATACCTTAAGTTCGTCACATTTGAATACACGAGGATCTACGTTTGTCACGATAACAGACATTGGCAGATCCTCGTCGTGAACCAATTCGTCTAGTGTTCTAACACTTTTATCACTTCTACTTCTATCGTCGCTGAGATCGAGGTCGAGTTGTTGGAAATTTGGGTGCAAATTTGGGAGCCCGTCGACTTCGTTTATTATTATATTCTCTGTGTCCTCCTCGTCGTCTGTCATGTTCGACTCGCGTTTTTCATCCATCTTAATTTATTGTCTAGAAAATTCAACCACGAATTTCACGATTTTTCTCCATTTCCATTTTTTATTTTATTTTGAAAACGATGAAGGAAAATTTAATTCAGGGGATTTTCCAGGGTTCAAGAGCGAAGCAATCATAAGACTATTTTTTTTTATGGGGAAAGAGTTTGTTCATGACTTAAAAATAGTTCTACACCCCTAAATTCGGTGATTAAAGCTTCATTAAAAAATGAGCGTCAGGATAATTTTACCCCAATCTCCTCTACTCAATAAACAAAGTTGTTGACTTGGTTATGTGAGCTAATAAACCCCAAGTAAACAAGCGCCTTTTAATTGAGGGTCCGAAGGTCAGGAAGAGATGTGCCTTCATAACAAAAATGTCACGATGATTTTCAAGATGATTTCCCAGTCCCCAAGATGATGTCACTCTTCGTAATTACGTAGAGAGCCTTTCGAAGTGTTGAACAATTCGGCGAAGTCAACAATTTCATGCAGAAATAATTCCAAAACCCAAAACAATTGGCAGATTGTTAACAACGAGAGGAGGTTAAGTGGGACCCAACAGTAAAAGGGTAAGGGAAAATCCATAATTCGCGATAAAAATCACTGGATATTCATGTTTTGATGGCTTACGTTCTGTGTCCACTTGGTCGGAGCCTCGGTGTTACACTAGAATATTAATTCCGATGGAATAATCATATCCATTGATTACCAGGTGACGAGACAGTGACAATGTTTCTTCGATAAATCAACGACAGTTGTATCCCTGATGGTTATGCACAAGGATCACTACGATGTTTATCACTTTTGATTATCACAATAATTTTCTCCAAGACTGGGCGATGGTGGGGGTGAGTGAGAAAGCGTGGGCGCTATCATTGCAGCGCGTGATATTATATCACAGGGGCATTGTTATTATCTCGAGGGAAACGATTGATTAGGGATTGAAAGTTGATCAGGGTGAGTTGACGGTTTTTAAGGGGTCGTTGGGGGGACGTGAAGATCATTAACGAGGGGAGGTGAATCCTGCGATATGGGGTGGGTAACGGCGATGCCCGTAGTAGCTACCAGAAATTCCAGTCGCTTTTTTCCATCTTTTTCTTTGTTATTCGTAAAAAAAGCATCGCATTTGTGCGCTCATCACTTTTTTTTACAGTTTATTGTTGACACTGAGGATGTTTCATGTCGTCATAGGAATTATTTTATTGACAATAATTGTTTATAATTCTGTGGGAAAGGATATGGGTCAGTTAGAACGCGATGTAATCGTCAGGTGAGGAACGAAATATTTGTTTTACCGACGAGTGGTGTCAGAACATGCTTTTACACGGCTGAGAAGGGTCTCGCAAAGTTCTTCATGCCACAAACCAGATTTGAATTTTTAAAAATACCATACACCAAATAACGCCATTGCGCAGCGTGTCCGCGCATATCAATCATGGCGGCCGCTCTCTGCCACTGAACGGAGGCTTTGGCGTTCGTTCCGTCTATTTTCAGTAAAAAAGGGTATTAAACCGGGAAAATAATTGATAATAATGTCATAATCAGTTAATATTGATGGCGAGGAATAATTTTATCAAGAAATCCGACTTTATTATCGTTTATTATGAAGCCTAGACGTCTAAAAGGTAAAATGCCTAATTTGCCACTGCGCAACTTCTCCACGCACATTCATCATGGCGGCCGGCTACTGGCAGAGAAAGGGCGGTTTGGCGTTCGTCCGCGGATTTTCGGTGAGAAAAGGCATAAAACCGCGAAAATTAATACTAATCATGCAGTAATCAGTTAATATTGAGGGCGAGGAATGATTTTATCAAGAAATCCGACTTTATTATCGTCTATTATGAAGCCTAGACGGTTAAAAAGGGCAATGCCAACTTTTGCCACTGCGCAACTTCTCCGCGCATATTCATCATGGCGGCCGGCTACTGGCAGAGAAAGGGCGGTTTGGCGTTCGTCCGTGGATTTTCGGTGAGAAAAGGCATAAAACCGCGAAAATTAATACTAATCATGCAGTAATCAGTTAATATTCATGGTGAGAAACGATTTTATCAAGAAATCAGACTTTATCGTCGCTTATTATGAAGCCTAGACGGTTAAAAAGGGCAATGCCAACTTTGGCCACTGCGCAACTTCTCCGCGCATATTCATCATGGCGGCCGGCTACTGGCAGAGAATGGGCGGTTTGGCGTTCGTCCGTGGATTTTCGGTGAGAAAAGGCATAAAACCGCGAAAATTAATAATAATCATGGAGTAAGCAGTTAATATTCATGGTGAGGAACGATTTTATCAAGAAATCAGACTTTATCGTCGCTTATTATGAAGCCTAGACGTCTAAAAAGAGCAATGCCAACTTTTGCCACTGCGCAACTTCTCCGCGCACATTCATCATGGCGGCCGGCTACTGGCAGAGAATGGGGGCTTTGGCGTTTACACAATTAATTAATTAATTGTGTAAACGCCAAAGCCCCCGTTCAGTACCAAAGGCCGGTCGCCATGTTGGATGTGCGTAGAGAAGTTGCGCACTGGCGATATTTGGCGTTCACGCTCTTTCTGTCGCTTATACACATCTAGATGTGTATAAGCGACAGAAAGAGCGTGAACGCCAAATATCGCCAGTGCGCAACTTCTCTACGCACATCCAACATGGCGACCGGCCTTTGGTACTGAACGGGGGCTTTGGCGTTTACACAATTAATTAATTAATTCTAAAGGAAAAAGACGATAAAACTGTGGAAATGAACATGGACAATTGAACAATGAGTTGACAATACTGAAGAGTAACGATTTTAAGGTGAACGTCATTTCTATGTGATCGACATATTTGTGACGTCGCAAGATGACGCCTGCTGTGTAATTCTGGACAAAGTGACAATGTTTGGTGTTTAATGAGTCTATTGACTTCCTAAATAATTAAAAATTCAACTCAAAAGTGAAATGATTGTGGAATGGAGGACTTAGTGGATTTTATCAGTGAATTTGTGGTTATGAAAAGTGAAAAGTGCTTTCGGGAGTTCCGTTATTGCCGATGCGTTGATAAAATACGCGAGATGGGGTCGGTGTGTTGTTAAATCGGTGGCGAGTGTTTTTTTGCTGGGGTAAATATTTGGAGTATTTTNGTCTCCCCTGGTTCAAAACCATCTTTAGAGGTCCTAGCACGCCATTTCTCGACCCGCTCTTTCGTTTGAGCCCAAAAAAACATTCATATCTTGTCTGACATCTTTGCTACAAACTCGGGTTTTCAGTTGAAATTGGAATTGTTAATATACACAATAATAGGATTGCATTGACGATTTTTTCTTAACTCGCAAAAATTTTCAAACAATTTGCTATCGATTGATGATAAAATTTTTTGGAAATAATGAAACAGAGGGAATAACGCCTTTTTTTTCAAAGGTGATTTTTCAAAAATTTATTTTAAAAAAAGTACTAACTAACAAATGTTTTTTATTAGCTGGCAATTTTCTTCAAAACTACTTCAATGAGGAAAAAATAAAAATTTGGAATATCTATACATGAGGGGCTAATTGATCGGATCTGAAGCCTCTTCAGATCGTAAGCGAAGGCTACCCGAGACATAAATTAAGAAATTTCTATAATGATTTCAACTTTCGAAGAATCTCATTAAAACCTATAAAAAACGTTATTATGAAAATTCCGCTATCTCCCTTACATTGGGAAATATTCTTCGAAAACTCAGCAAAGAGCTGAGTCGACTGAAACCGTTTTACCGCCCATTCACTACCGAATTATGTCTTATATATTTTGCGATCAATTCCACGTGAGAAATGTTTGACAAGAGTTTTTCGGAAGGAATATAGCCCGGATGCCATTCCTCCCGAAAATATCTAAAATTGATAATTGATAATTACAACGGAAAACCTGTTTCAACACAGCACGCCAGTCCCGTGAATCCAATTAAATCCCGGAATAACTCATTCAAGAATCTAGAGATTCAATCGATAATTTAAATGCTGTTGTCAAGACGACAGTAAACAATCAAGCCCTTTGGCATTACTTGCTCTCGTGTAAGTACCCGAAATTCAACGCAGTTGACAATTTTTTTCATTGCCATTGCAATTACCGAATCACCTTCGTCCGGAGAAAAAAGACTCGTGAAATAATTTTCGTTATGGCGACTCCTCTCCTGCAGAGCAGAGTCTTTTACGGATTGAAAACCGATGTAATAAGTAACGCGCATTACATTACTGATAACGATATTTTGTATCCGGTTGGCAATGCCCTGGCAATTCACAACTTTCACGAAAAACATCAGCGACTGCTTCGTCTCCCGAATAAGTACCAGATTAATATAATCGCCGTTACCCCGAATAAGTGAGTTTATTTAATGGATTTCCCCCTCGAAAATGGAGTTGAAACTAGCGAGAGGTTCGATTTAGGTGAATCTAGGGGTATAGAAATATTTTTCACATGTTTGTGGGGCTTTAGAAATAGTAGCCCCTCCACCTCGTATTTTTAAACATTTCTTTAAATTATTTACCCCTCTAAATCACACTCAACTCACTCTTTCTTGTTTCTGTAAAATGAACCATTTTTTAAAGGCAATGGCTATTCACACGCCTGCGTGAATCCCTCTGGAACCTCCGTATGTACACTCCATACACTCCATGGGGTTTTTCGAATGATTCACGCAGGCACGAAGTAGTTCGTTGGGCATGTAGATAGTGCACTCTAATCCTTCTAAGATGGTTTTGAACCAGGGGAGACTCCTAGACTCCACTGGAAAATGTTACAACTCTGTTTTTCAATTGAAAACAGACATCATCTTTAGAGACATTTGTCATGTTTAGAGGCCCTAGCACACCATTTCTCGAGCCGCTCTTTCATTTGAGCCCAAAAAAACATTCATATCTTTTCTGACATCTCTGCTACAAACTCTGGTCTCCAACTCTGGTTTTAACTGAAAAGAGTTTGCAGCAGAGATGTCAGACAAGATATGAATGTTTTTTTGGGCTCAAATGAAAGAGCGGGTCGAGTAATAATGGCGTGCTCCCAAGTAGAAATTGACGATAGAAACAGNTTTTTTTGGGCTCAAATGAAAGAGCGGGTCGAGCAATAATGGCGTGCTCCCAAGTAGAAATTGACGATAGAAACAGGACTCATCAAGCCCTGGAGCAAGGCTTGGAAATGCTCAACTAAGGCTGAAGCTCAGCCTTGATAACCACGTTTCAGACTAAGTCCACAAGGCTTGAACAATGCTTGGCGCCAAGGCTTGGTCCAATCCTTGAATTATACAAAATTTTAACAGTTCAATCGCACTTCTTTAAAAAAAATCATATTAATGTTTACGGATGTGGGTTCAAATAATTTCTTATTGCTGCATAACCCCATTTAGGAATTCTGAGCAACTTATGAAAAAGACTGACGGGACTATGTACAGTTCCTCGTGTAAAAAAATTTTTTTATTTCGGCATTTCTGGGGCAAGTGAGAGTCTCAGGGGTATTAGGCGGGCCAGAAAATACAGATTCAGCGTTCACCCGGCGGAAAAATTCGATTTTGGCGAAAGTCGACTTTCCCCCCGAAAAAAGGTTAAATACGGCACTTTGGCTCCGGGTGGAAAAAAAAAATTTTTTATTTCTGCCTTTCCCGGGCAAGTGAGGGTCTCAGGGGGATTAGGCGGGCCAGAAAATACAGATTCAGCGTTCACCCGGCGGAAAAATTCGATTTTGGCGAAAGTCGACTTTCCCCCCGAAAAAAGGTTAAATACGGCACTTTGGCTCCGGGTGGAAAAAAAAAATTTTTTATTTCTGCCTTTCCCGGGCAAGTGAGGGTCTCAGGGGGATTAGGCGGGCCAGAAAATACAGATTCAGCGTTCACCCGGCGGAAAAATTCGATTTTGGCGAAAGTCGACTTTCCCCCCGAAAAAAGGTTAAATACGGCACTTTGGCTCCGGGTGGAAAAAAAAAATTTTTTATTTCTGCCTTTCCCGGGCAAGTGAGGGTCTCAGGGGGATTAGGCGGGCCAGAAAATACAGATTCAGCGTTCACCCGGCGGAAAAATTCGATTTTGGCGAAAGTCGACTTTCCCCCCGAAAAAAGGTTAAATACGGCACTTTGGCTCCGGGTGGAAAAAAAAAATTTTTTATTTCTGCCTTTCCCGGGCAAGTGAGGGTCTCAGGGGGATTAGGCGGGCCAGAAAATACAGATTCAGCGTTCACCCGGCGGAAAAATTCGATTTTGGCGAAAGTCGACTTTCCCCCCGAAAAAAGGTTAAATACGGCACTTTGGCTCCGGGTGGAAAAAAAAAATTTTTTATTTCTGCCTTTCCCGGGCAAGTGAGGGTCTCAGGGGGATTAGGCGGGCCAGAAAATACAGATTCAGCGTTCACCCGGCGGAAAAATTCGATTTTGGCGAAAGTCGACTTTCCCCCCGAAAAAAGGTTAAATACGGCACTTTGGCTCCGGGTGGAAAAAAAAAATTTTTTATTTCTGCCTTTCCCGGGCAAGTGAGGGTCTCAGGGGGATTAGGCGGGCCAGAAAATACAGATTCAGCGTTCACCCGGCGGAAAAATTCGATTTTGGCGAAAGTCGACTTTCCCCCCGAAAAAAGGTTAAATACGGCACTTTGGCTCCGGGTGGAAAAAAAAAATTTTTTATTTCTGCCTTTCCCGGGCAAGTGAGGGTCTCAGGGGGATTAGGCGGGCCAGAAAATACAGATTCAGCGTTCACCCGGCGGAAAAATTCGATTTTGGCGAAAGTCGACTTTCCCCCCGAAAAAAGGTTAAATACGGCACTTTGGCTCCGGGTGGAAAAAAAAAATTTTTTATTTCTGCCTTTCCCGGGCAAGTGAGGGTCTCAGGGGGATTAGGCGGGCCAGAAAATACAGATTCAGCGTTCACCCGGCGGAAAAATTCGATTTTGGCGAAAGTCGACTTTCCCCCCGAAAAAAGGTTAAATACGGCACTTTGGCTCCGGGTGGAAAAAAAAAATTTTTTATTTCTGCCTTTCCCGGGCAAGTGAGGGTCTCAGGGGGATTAGGCGGGCCAGAAAATACAGATTCAGCGTTCACCCGGCGGAAAAATTCGATTTTGGCGAAAGTCGACTTTCCCCCCGAAAAAAGGTTAAATACGGCACTTTGGCTCCGGGTGGAAAAAAAAAATTTTTTATTTCTGCCTTTCCCGGGCAAGTGAGGGTCTCAGGGGGATTAGGCGGGCCAGAAAATACAGATTCAGCGTTCACCCGGCGGAAAAATTCGATTTTGGCGAAAGTCGACTTTCCCCCCGAAAAAAGGTTAAATACGGCACTTTGGCTCCGGGTGGAAAAAAAAAATTTTTTATTTCTGCCTTTCCCGGGCAAGTGAGGGTCTCAGGGGGATTAGGCGGGCCAGAAAATACAGATTCAGCGTTCACCCGGCGGAAAAATTCGATTTTGGCGAAAGTCGACTTTCCCCCCGAAAAAAGGTTAAATACGGCACTTTGGCTCCGGGTGGAAAAAAAAAATTTTTTATTTCTGCCTTTCCCGGGCAAGTGAGGGTCTCAGGGGGATTAGGCGGGCCAGAAAATACAGATTCAGCGTTCACCCGGCGGAAAAATTCGATTTTGGCGAAAGTCGACTTTCCCCCCGAAAAAAGGTTAAATACGGCACTTTGGCTCCGGGTGGAAAAAAAAAATTTTTTATTTCTGCCTTTCCCGGGCAAGTGAGGGTCTCAGGGGGATTAGGCGGGCCAGAAAATACAGATTCAGCGTTCACCCGGCGGAAAAATTCGATTTTGGCGAAAGTCGACTTTCCCCCCGAAAAAAGGTTAAATACGGCACTTTGGCTCCGGGTGGAAAAAAAAAATTTTTTATTTCTGCCTTTCCCGGGCAAGTGAGGGTCTCAGGGGGATTAGGCGGGCCAGAAAATACAGATTCAGCGTTCACCCGGCGGAAAAATTCGATTTTGGCGAAAGTCGACTTTCCCCCCGAAAAAAGGTTAAATACGGCACTTTGGCTCCGGGTGGAAAAAAAAAATTTGTTATTTCGGCATTTCTGGGGCAAGTGAGGGGCGCAGTGACATTAGGCGGGCCAGAAAATACAGAATCGGCGTTCACCTGGCGGAAAATTTCGATTTTGGCGAAAGTCGACTTTCTCCGGATAAATCCAAGATGACACTTTGGCCGCAGGTGAAAAAAATTTTTTTATTTCGACATTTGTGCATCAACTCCTCCACTCACTCTTGCGTGAATCACTGCGAAGAGAAAATATTCTGCGTGAATCACTCCACTGACTCTTGCGTGAAGCATTCATACTACATTACCTGGTTCTCCTAACTCAGAAAACCCCATGGAGTGTATGGGGTGTACCGGAGGGATTCACGCAGGATTGCGAATGGCCACTGCCTTTTTTAAAGCTATCATTCATATTTTCTCATGCCCTTTTGGCTGAGAATTCACAGCGCAATTTTTTTTTTCACTTCCGACGCGTCTGAAGTATTTCCAAGCACATTGGCTATTTTTTCTCTAGTGGAATGGTTTTTTACATTTGTAGTTGAACATCAGAGCTTTTCTTTGTGCTTCATTGGACTCTAAGATTCCGGACATTTTACAATGATTTTATTATTTAAACTTTGAAGGTCTGAATTTTAATCTCTGTATTGAACAGTTAGGAATCGTTTAAAAGATCTGAAAAAATAGAAAGCTTACTTTGGGAGGAAGATTAATGAAATAATTTAAAAATTGCATTTCTGGAAAATTACGAGGATTTTCCTTAAATAATTTACAAACAAATAATCTTCCAATAAAAATAAGACTTCCGATAGTTTGAACACTTTCAATTATTTATTTATAAATTTTTTTATTCATAAACTTATTCATAAACTTTAATGATCGAAAATGGTTAAATTTATAGTGCGGTCTGTACCAAACTATAAAAGACACTCGGATATTCTTAAACCCTGAAAAATCCCCTAAATTGAATTTTTCGCTGTGAAATATTCCGCTAGTTTCCGCTTGATGCCTCGAAGACATCTCGAACTCACGAGAGTTATTTCCCAATTGAAAAGGAAATACGTAGCCCTCTGCGAAGTGGGTGACAAGCCGACGATCTCAGTCTACGATGTCCACAGTCTCCGCCGTAGGAAGACCCTGGGGATCCCCTACGACTGTCCGGAAGTCAAGAACTTCACCTGCATCTCCTTCAGCTTTGACAACAAGTATCTCGCGGCGGTGACGGACTCCCCGGACCAAACGATGCTGTTTTACGCTTGGGAGAAGGGCAAAGTCGAATCGACAATCAAAGTCCTGAACCCCCAGATCCCATCCGCTCTCATCCACCAGATATCCTGCAACCCTGGGGACATTGGTCTGGTTGCCCTCGCGGGGAGATTCTCCTTCAAGTTCCTGACCTGCTCCGAGACCATCTGGCGACCCTACGGATTCTCCAAAGCTGAAAATCTCCTGATCTCCTCGATCTGCTGGCTCAACACCGATCGACTCCTAGCGGGGACTGAAGACGGCCGCATCCTCTTCATGGAGAACGGCGACCTCAAGAACATCTTCAAGATGAAGGAGGTCAGCCTTATGAACCTGAAACTGCGAGAGGAATTTGTCATTCAGCCCTCGACTGAAAACACAACCGAAGACATTCGGGCCTTGACATTTTTTCCGAAGGGCTTTGCCTTCGGCTACGGCCCCGGCAAAATCCTCGTCTTCGAGAAGGATGGCCAACACAAATTCATCCACAAACACATTTTCCTGGTGCCGAGGCAGGTCACCAAGGACCCGGAGGCCACCGAGGCCTTCTACGAGATAAATTCAATAAGTGCGAATGCCAGTTCAGATCGACTGATCGTCACCACCGGCTGGTCCCAGCTGTTCTCCGCTAAATTATGGACATCCAATCTCCTGATGGACGTTACTCCAGAGGACCTGGGGATTATGGGACAGGCTCTGCATCATGGACCCATCAACAGCCTCTCCATGTGCGCCTGGAAGTCCATCTTCATTACTTCGGGGGACGACGACAGAAGCGTCAGAATCTGGGATTACGAGTCTGAGAATCTCGTCATGTTCAAACAGTACCAGGAGAACATCTACTCGGTCGCACTGCATCCCATCGGCCTCTTCTGCCTCATCGGTTTCACTGACAAACTTCGCTTCATGACGATTTCCATCGACGATCTACTGACGATGCAGGAGTTCCCCATCAGGGCCTGTAAAATTGTGAAATTCAGCAATGGGGGGCATCTATTCGCCGCTGTCAACGGCAACATCATCCACGTGTACACGACCATCGACTTCTCCAGTAAATTTCTGTTGAGGGGACACACTGGCAAGATCAGCCACATCGTTTGGTCGCAACAAGACTTTAAACTCGTTTCGGTTGGGCTCGACGGGGGGATCTACACCTGGGACATCACCACAGGCACCAGGACTGGGGAAATTATCCTGAAGAATGTCTCTATCAGTGGGGTGGGGCTCACAGCAGACGCCTCCTCGATTTACTGCATCGTCAATCACGGAATCAACAAGATCTACGAAATCAAGGATGACTCGGTCGTTCGTGAGCTAGCCATGACGAATAATCAACTGACGTCTCTTCTTCTGGGGAAGAACGACTCACTGATCTTCACCACTTGTCCTGGGGGTGTCATTCTGTCCTTCAAGGTCCCTCTGCTGGAGGCACTCGAGTGCAAGGACTTTCACATTCACTGCACGGACATCACGAACATCTGTCTCTCCTTCAACGAACAGAATCTCATTTCCGCCGGGGATGACGGGAGTTTGTGCTTCTGGAAGGTAATTTCGCCTGAAGCTACACTGGACTCTGGTGATCAGTACACGAGTGAAGTTTTAATCGGTAAAAATGATCTTGGGGAGAAGATTCAACTGATTCAAGAGTTGACGACTAGGATCAAAGAATTGGAGACCGAAGCCGCTTACAAAATGCGACAGATTGAGGTGCAGCACAATGATAAGATGCGACAGGTGCACCAGGGCTACTGCGAAGCCATCGAGGAGCTAAAGTTGAAAATTGATAAACTCCACGAGGATCGGACTAACGAGCTCAACAACATCAACTTCGAGATCGCGAAGATGAAGTCGGCGCATGAGAAATCGGTCAAGGACATGGAGATCAGTTATGACAGTAAATTGATCGTTGAGTATGACAAATATTCGGCGTTCGAGGTGAAGAATAATGAGATGAGAGAGGATTACGAGAGGCAACTCGAGGAGTTGTCAGTGGCACGTGGCAAAGAGCTCGAGGAGTCGATTAACAGGTACGAGGCACTGCTGCATGAAAAGGGAATTCAACTCCAGGAGTTTCACGAAGAGATGTCTCACCAGGTGCGGATACACGAGAGGATTAAGGACCAGATCGAGGACGATGCTGACAGGGAGATTGTGGAGATCAGGTCTGGGTACGAGAGTCTTTTGTACGAGGAGCGTCAGGCGAATTTGAAGCTCAAGGGGGAGGCCGGTGTCCTCAGGAACAAGTACGCTGCCAATCAGAAGGAGATCGAGGACTTGAAGAGAAATGTCAGTCATCTGCAGGGGGAGCAGCACCAGTACCAGAGGACAATTGAGCAACTCGAGAAGGATGTAATGGATCTCAAGGGGGAGATAAGCGAGCGAGACGCTGCCATTCAAGAGAAAGAGAAGAATATTTATGAATTAAAGAGGAGTAATCACGAGTTGGAGAAGTATAAATTCGTGTTGAATTACAAAATCGTGGAGTTGAAGAATCAAATCGAGCCGAAGGACGACGAGATCAAGGATCTGAAGGAGAAGCTGCAGATGATGGAGACGGAATTGCTATCGATTAACGAGGAGAATAAGAACCTGCAGCTGGAGATCAGTGATATGAACGACAAGTTGAGTGGAGTTAAACGAGAGGTGCAGGTGGAGGTGCAGAATAACAGGAATAATCAGCTGTTGCTGAAGAGAATCCAGAAGGATTTGGCTGATGCTGCTGCTGTCATCCAACAGCCCCATGCCCTCAAAGTAGCTGTCAAGAATCTTTATAATCGTTACAGCAGTGATGAGGAGATGCAGAGGAGTCGAGAGGCTAGTCTCGAAGTTGAGTGCGAACTTATTAGGCAGAGGGATCATCTGGAGAGGACCATTGATTCGTTGAAGAGGCCCTTTTCCCGAAGAAAGAAAAATACTTGAGAGGATTGTTCATTTCATGGAGTGTGTAGTTACTTTATTTTCTAAATCTCTTATTGTACAAATGGAGTTATTTGTAAATATCAGTATGCGCTTTAGGAAATAAACACTAGTAAATATTCTATAAAATGTTATTTATTGAGACGATGAAAAAGATAACCAATTGAGCATAAATAACTGTCATTAAATAGTACCAACCTTAAATAAAAGAACAGTTTAAAATAATTGAAATAAACCCGTTTAAGTTCAAGAGAGATAGAGAGATCAATGATTTAAAGTAAACCAGGAATGATGGCTTTGCGATCCTTGGGATAATTCGGAAATTCCCTCTTGTAGGCTCGATGCTTTCCCAGTGCCCAGATGCTCATTTGATAAGCACCGGCCAGTGTAAACAGTGCAGCTAAAATAAATGCATTTGTGATTACGTGCGCAAGGAAATTGGTTTTGTTGAATCATAAAAAAAGAAACGAATGAATAATTCACCTGGAAGACATTTCGTCATTATTGTGAATCCAATCCAACTTCCAACTTCGTAAGTGTAATTGGGACATGAGACAGAGTTGAAGAGAGATGTGAGTGGATTATCAGTGGCCTGGGGAATTCTTCTGACTGTTGTGCCTGGTGGCCTCAGATCCCTCAGGGCCAAGTGTATACTCAGATTACCTAACTCGCAAATTACGAACATAACGAGACCAATGGCCGAGGCAGCACCGCTGGGCTCACTGTACAGTGGATGATTTACATGATATGCGACGTACATCGTGAAAAGCCAGTAGTACGAGCAATTTTTGAACAAGTTTCGAAGGGGCATTGTTGCGTGACTGAAACGATGGACAAACAGTGTCTCCAGAATTCTTTTTGCGTAGTGGATGGTCCAACAGGCTGCGGCATAGCTGAAAATCATTCAATTAATTTCAACTCTAACTGAATTATTGCTGCAACTACCTGCATTGGGGCTTATTAAATTGTGATGAGGCTAAGAGAAAAATATAAAGGGAAATGCTCTGTTTGCATAAAAGAATTTTGTCCTCTTTCCCAATGTCTCGAGTGCTAAATTCACTTCAATCTACATGCAGTGAAAAAAATAAATTGCAATGCATTTGAATTATGCATTCTCCTGCGTGAAAAAGTGAAGGCACAAAATTTTTCTCATTGAAAAAATTTTCGTTCCACTGTTGAATCGAATGTCACTAATGGAATTCCGATAAAAAATAAATAGGAATGAATTATTCATGAAATTCAGGAAGTTGGAATGTGATATTTCACTCACTGGACGACAGGCCCAGCTTCTTGGCTCGTTTCTCCGTAGAATATCCAGGGCCTGGTGTAAACCCATAGATAAACGAACAGGGGGCCAGCGTATTCAGCCAGGAAAACTGTTTTCCAGCCAATCTGGGGGCCGAGATCTTTGTAATAAAGTTTTGAGGAATTCCGGAGACCCAATGACTTGACTGTCTCTGAGTCTGACAATGACTTGCCCTTTGCCTCGGCCCGGAGACTCTGGCGTTCGACGTAAGGTGCTTTCTTTTGTTTATTCAATTCTTTTTTTATTTCACCTATTGTTGTGCTCTCGGTCACCTGAAAATTCAATTGTACCGGGAATTTCATCGCTATTTCTGACATAAAAACGGAAGAGTCAACATAATTTATCATATAATTAACACAAATAAACACAAAAATTTTGAGCGTGTCGTTGACATCAGCTGTTGATTGTTTTTATTTCTTTAATTTTTGGAGAACTAAAAAATGAATTGCTTACTCACTCTGACGGTTGTTATGGGGTTCGAGTTTCTCGCCCCAAGAATTTCGATCTGCAATTTAATTCGGTTGTTAATGATGCGAATTATGGGCCACAATAGGGTCTCTGTTTATTTATTTATTTGAATAATCGTTACCTCCATTTTTTCTGGAATTATTCGTCGATGTTTTCTTCACTAATAGCATAGACCGTCTGAGGCCTAAGTTATTCGATCGTTCATCCACGTCTCATCACTTCCGGTTTGCTCGTGTGGTGTCGCTATCGTTCCATACGGCAAAAAAATTAAAAAACACGGTGTCATGGAAACGTTTTAAATTATTTTTGTTTTCGATAAATTATTATTTTTTCTGTTTGTCGTTTCACTTCAATTTTACCACTTTTATTTTGTTTTAAATTCTTCAGATTTTCTTTCATCGAATGAATTATCGCACAATTTTTTTGAGTCGAGAAAATTTAAACTCTCGGTAATGAGTCGTATGAATTTGATAATAGTGGCATAATGACCTTTGCGCCTTTTGTCAATGAAACGCTGCATAAATTTGAGGTACAGCAGCTATTTTCGTTTTTTAGCAGTCATTACGAGCATTATCATCAAGGCGAACAGGTTTTTAGCGTATGGCAATTATTTTGACATTGTACTATAGTCAGGGAAACGATAGTTTTTTTATCAAATACGGTGCGAAGAGGAATTTACTATTTACAATGGGAAAAACTCTGCGTTTGCTGAATTCAAAGGTTCAATCGTTTGTCATTGAATGAAATATGAGAAGTGCTGATGGAGAGCATTTCATTCGAAAAGAAAACGCGAATAATGAAAAAAATTATGCTTTGAAAATTCCGCTCAAAATAATTAAATAAATGAATTCGAAATGCGTAAAAAAAAAATCACCATTTATCGTTTTTGAGGACTTCCTCTATCTCCTAAAAAATTGCCAACACCCTCGGAAACATACTTGAGGGTAGTAGAAGAGTGAAAAGGTCGTTTTTTTGCGATTTTTACACAAAATTTTTTTTTTTTTTTTCATTTTTTTCTGATCTCCAGATTTTTTTTTAGATTACATTCTTCTCCCTCGCGCCGAAAAGCTCATTTTCTCATAAGACTGCGTTATCTTTGCACTTGTACATTAATTATTAACAACAATACTGAACTATCAATCGAACACAAACACAATAACCAGAATGTTTCAATTCATCATAACTTTGGTTTAGAACACGACTTTTTTTAAAATATTAGTGACGGGTTGAAATGTTGATGAAATTTAACCATTTTCTTTTCAATGGAAAGAACAATTCTTTCCCTTTGTGATGAGCCTGAACTGAGCTCTATTGATACATTTGTTTTTAAGTTATGAATAATTTAAAAAAAATCTAAAGTCTCTGTTTTACCATGCGAACAACAAGTAGTGCCACCACTGCTACCGGCACTGTTTGACCGTTAGCAGGTGTCTCGTTGGCTACTTTGATAAATGGGGAAATATGTTGTTCAGGGCAGTTGTTCCATCTCATGGTCAATAGGCCGTGGGCCACTGTGGAAATGGACTACTGCGGAAAAAGAAACGAAGCTCCCCCGGTGCCCCTGCGTACGTGGCACAAAACGTGTCCACCAATCCCACAATTTCATCCTCAGTAATAGGCGTGACTTGTTCTCACACCTACAGTACACATTTAATCAGTGAAATGTCCAAATACGCACTAAAACAAATTCACCGAGTGAGATTTTGTTCCTGTGTGTTCCGGGATCGGCCATAACTCCCTCCGAGTCACCTAAAAGATATTCTCCCCCATTTACGACAGTGGAATTCCCAGTTGGCCTTTTTGATACCGTTGTAACATTTGTCCAAGGAGAACGTATACGTGGATGAAGAGGCCACCTTTTCTTTAAAATCAACCGTAACAATACCATTTAACGGTGGGAGTTTAACACTGCTGTTCATTTGTTGAGTCTACCACTTCGATTATTGGTGTAACACGTGAGTTTGTACTATTAATTATTTATTTTCATTGATTTATTGGCTTTTTGGGGACAGGTTGGCAAGTTTTGCTCGGTTTATCGATGTCTCTGGCATTTATTTTCGCCGGTTGATGAGGTGAAGGTACAGTTTTTTCTCTCCCGTGGAATCTCGGGAATCTGGAGTTGCTTGAGTGCCGGTTCATTTTTTTTACGTCTTGTTGGAGATTATTTATCGTTATCTCTCGGTGATTTCGGTATTTCCAGTCAATTTTCACGATTTTTATCGCAATTATTCGACATTTTCTTCGGGTTTTATGGCTTTTGGGGAATATTTTGGAGTTAATTCCGTTGGAAACGGCATATTCTTGCATTTTGGGGAGGGATTTACGTCGGATTTCAGAGGGTAAAATTGATTGCAAGGTTTTCTCCGCTCGATTTTCAACCTCTTAATGAGGTTTTTGGGACTTCGCAGAGCGAGATGGATTTGCAGGGTGGTCTGGCGTATGTCGGGGTTGTTGTCATGTCGGCAGTGGCGATTTTCCTCATCTCGATGTTTGGAATGAAGGAGAAGTCGTACGAGGAGGCCATCGCCGAGCAGAGGAAGCTGCCGGATGATTTACTTCTAGGTGAGAAATTCATTATTCTTTATGCTCAATGAATTATCTGGGGAGCTGATGGGGGAGTGAAAGTGGTTTCATTGGATTGTTCGAGAGAATTTCCCTTGGAAAAAACTGCATGATGACCCATTTCAATTAAATTTAATTTTTAAAGACGATAAAACCATTTTTGCTCCAATTTTTGTGCTCCAAAATCATTTTGGAGCAAAAGAATTTTTCCCCAATCTCAAAATAAAAATAGCTTTTTCAATCAATTTTTATCGATGGAAATTTTTTTTTGTTCATTTTAACGTGCATTTTCATAAAATTTCAAGACATGTTTTTTATTTTTTTGCTCAAAAATAATTTCAAAGTGAAAAAAAATTCATCAAATCAAACATTTAGCAGAAAAAATGGTGAACAATTATTGACATTCGACTCTAAATGAATTTTCAGGAAAAAAGGAAAAGGGCAAAGAGAAAAAGCATAAAAATAAAGCTGGTAAAAAGGTAAAGGAGAAGAAGGAGGAGAGAGAGGAGAAGGAGGATAAAGAAGAAAAACCGGAGCACGTGCAATTCGAGGAGACTCCCCAGATTTTACCCCCCGATCTACCAGTGCAGGTAATTAGGAATGAATTAAACTCGAGGGTTAATGGGGCTTGGGGATTTAACAAAACTGCTGGAACAAATTTTACCCTCAATCCTTTTTAATATTTTTTTACTGACGTTTGGGCTGTCTTGACGATTTTTTTACGGGTGAAATATGGTATGCCACTTTGCGTATCAAATGTTGCACATGTGGGTCATCCGAGATGACACATGTACAGAGGTGACTAATATCTTATTACATCTATTCGTCGAGTAATTCATCTTTTCAGGAGGTATTACCAAGTTGAAGGTCTTGAATTCTTTGGCGTAAATCAGCTTTTAACACCTCTGAATTAATCAGACACTTTTGTATTTACACAGATGAAAATAACTCAATTTTTTCAATTTCCTCGGTTCATTTATTTCCTCAAAACAAAATCAACAATGAATTCGTCATTTGTTTCTGTTTAATGTCAAATATTTTCTGCCCTCAAAATTCATCGATGACTCCAGTCCAAAAACTCAAGACCCTCCTCTCGGTAATTCAAAATCTTATCTTCACAAAAAAAAAATTGTTTACAACCGAAAAATTCCAAGATTGATTATCTCAAATTTTTTCTTTCACAAGTTGTGATATCGATACTGCACCAAAAATAAATATTTATTCAACGTTGAGATGTCAAAATATACATTTATCTCAGTAACTGGGAATTAACACGATTGCGGGGGTATTTTTTTCCTATCGGGTTGCTTTCAGGAGGCATGCAAGGGCAATAAGAAGAAAAATAAACCTGAAAAGGTGAAACCAATTCTTGTAAACAAGGATGAGTCGCCATTTATCGTGGCAGACGCAATAGCTTCGTCAAATACATTGCCTGAGGTCAATCATTTCGATATTATTCACCCTAAGGACGACCTTGAACTGATACGCAGTCACAGTGTGAGTTACGTGGGTTGCTTCATTCGCAATTTCTTTTTTTACAGGGGAGAGTGAGGTAAAATGAACACTTTCTCTTTTTTTCTCATGTTCATAACCGAGGATTAAATTTATCAATCGAAGGGAAACAATTGTCTTTGCTGTGGAAAAAAGTGTCCATTTTTTCCCACTAGCTCTTATTTTTCACATTTCCTCGCAATTTATTAAAGTTTGCACGTGGTAGATCGCCTCCAAAAAATTAACGAAGCCTTCAAATTATATATTTTTTACTACAGAGCAAATTCCTGCCTTTCTAGAGGAGGTTGAGGTAAAATGGATACTTTTGCCTTTTTTCCTCAATGTGCACAGAGAAACGATTGCCCTTATCATGAAAAAAAAAAAAATTGAATTAGCTATTGAAATTTCAAAAAACGTCAAGTGTCCATTTTGCCCCACTAGCCCCTATTCCTGACATTTCTTTACGAATTACTAACAACAGCAGACACCGGCATAACCATAAATTTTAATTAAAGTTAAAATTTGAATTATTTAATTAATCATGAATTTAAATATTCAAATTCCGAATTATTTTATCAATCAATGATTGAGTTCGGAAGATTGGCGATTATTCGGCTAATCGAAAAATACTTTTACGACGTTTAGAAGTATTTACTCAATAGTTACTCAGTTGACAATTCCCCATTGTCAATTATATTATTTTTCAAATTTCAATGAAGATAAGTAAATCTTAATTATTTTAACTTGCAACTTCATAACATCACTAAATTAATGATTGGTGCCCCTAAAAATCAATGAGCCCTTAAAATAATATTCTCTTTCCGCAGAAGGAAAATTTGACTCAATTAACCCAATCAGAGTCAGTAGTGAACAAATCCCCGAAGGAGACCCCGACAAAGTCGAAAAAGGCCCCAAAACTCCTCCAGAAAAAGGAATCCACAGAAGCTGAATCAGCACCCCCTCAAGCAACTTTGACAAACCGCCCTCCCACACAGACCCCCGCCCCCACCCAGCCGGCCGCGTCTCTCCCGGCCCCCACCCCAGCGCCTCTGAAAGAGTCCTCGAAGAAGAACAAGAAGAAGAACGACATTCTGGCTCAGATCGGAGGTGAAAAGGACGGGATAAACGTATCCCTGCTGATGCCCCTCGTCCAAAAAGCCGAGCTGAGTCGTTCGGAGATTCAAATACTCATCGATCAACTATTGAATAAGCAGCTGGACAACCCCCTGGAGCACTCTGAGTGGACCGAGGGTCGCACAGACCCAGTGATAAAACTGAAGAAGCAATTAGCTGAGAAGGACAAGGCCCTTACTGAGGAGCACGAGGCCAGTGTCACATTTCAGAATAAATTGAAGGAACTCCGTGCTGAATTGAACTCTGAACGCTCACGACTCACTCAGAATGTCAAGCAATTGGAGGAGGCATTGAACAACAAGATGACTGAGGCTCAAACCCTGCACACTCGTATGCAACACATCCTGGAGAGTCATGCTGCTGAGAAGCAGGGCTTCTCACGTCAGATCGAGCAGCTCCAGGCCAAGGTCAACGAGGATGGAGCGATAATTCACAAGATGCAGGCCGACCAGGGACAGACCCAGGGACATTTGCAGAAGGAGTTGAATGCTCAACGTCAACAGCTCGAGGCCCAGTTTGTCCAGATGAGAGAGAACGAGAAGGCCCTGCAGGCACAGCTGGCCCAGAAGCACGTCGAGTGTCAGGAATTGCAGAATGTCAACATGAATATGACGCAGGAGCTTCAGGCCACGTGTGAATCGAGCACTGCTGAGATTGAGATGCTTCGTCAACAATTGGCTATAATGCAGGAGCAGTTTATGCATGCTGAGGGACAGCTCCAACATTATAAGGAAACTGGAGATCGACTGCAGGACATGGCCAGACAACTCGAGGAGTCACACCGAGCCCAGGCGGATTTGGATTTGCGACTTAAGAATGCACATCGCCATGAACAGGATCTACAGAAGCAGATTCACTCGCTTCAGGGGGAGATGAAGATGGTGAAGGCTGAGGCGAATGAGGCCTCTGCACTCAATGGCGAACTCAATAAGGTCCAGGGGGAATTGATGAAACTGAAGAGCGATTTGTCACATTCTCAGAGTGAGGCCAAGTCTGAGGCAGCTGAAATCACGAGCCTGAGGAGTCTTCTCACTGGCAAGGAGGAGGAGGTGAAACTGGCGCAGGGAGAGTTGAAGAAATTGGAGGGAATTGTTGGTGATTTGAAGGATGAACTGACGAGAGTCAAGTCAGACTACCAGAAGATGCAGGAGGAGCAGAATAAGGACAAGAACGAGGTGAATAATCTTCAGGAGAAATTGGCTCAGGCTCAACAAGAAGTCTCCAAGGCCTCTGCCTATATTAAAGTAGCGAATGAAGCAACAAGTGAACTCAAGGTTGTCAGGGCAGAGCTGGAGACGGTGCAGAGTGGAGTTAAAAAAAGTGTCGATTTGAAATTGCAGTTTACCAAGTTGCAGGAGGAGAATAATAAACTTGTTCAGCGGATTGGGGAGACGCAGAGGGAGGTGAAGCAGTTGAGGGAGGAGAATGAAGAATTGGCGGAGCAAATCGCCTCCTTTAGTGAACTCCCTGCGGCTGAGGGCCGGGAGAATGGAGTCGAGGAGAAGAGGGAGAGGGTCAACAATTTGGAGAGTGAAGTGCTCAAGCAGAAAGACTCGCAGATTGACGAGTTGAGGGCGCAGTTGAGTAGCAAGGAGGTGGAGTTCGAGAGACTGAGGGAGGTTGTTGAGGGACTTAAGAGCGATATCAATAGTCAGAGTGGCTTGAGGAAGAAGTTGGAGGAGGATTTGGAGGCTCAAAGGTCAAAGAACAACGTGAGTGATTTTTTATTTCTGTCGTAATGAACAGTTTCGTTCATTCCTCTTGTTTTTTTTTTAGTTCTTTTGGTTGAAAATCTTTTCTCGCTGCTTTTTTTACTCATTCAGTTGGGGGATAGATGTATTTGGGGGTAGAATTCAGCTGGCTTCCATCACTTTTCAATTCTCATTAAATCCCATCATTTCGTCATTTACTTCATCATTTCTTTTAGTGTTTTGTTTTAATTTTTTGATGATTCGGTCACAGGAATTGAGAACTAAAAACTGGAAAGTGATGGAAGCACTTTCCGCCGCGGAGATGCGTTCTAAAAATCCTGGAAAATGTGTCGATGTAAGTCTGGTCCCTCTCCCTTTCCATTTATTCATAAAATTATTTAATCCACTTGATTTTAATGGAGAAAAAAAAATGATGAATTGTTTCTGCAGGATGGTTTGGAGAAAATCAAGGCTGCAGAACAGGAATCCACGAAATCCCTCCTCCAGAGAATATTCCCAGACATAAAGATCCAAGAAAAATCGTACGACAAATGGATAACTGCCTTTGAACAACGCGTTAGTGTTTTATTGACACAAGCAACACCCAATGATGCACAAGAAACAAACACCGACATGGAGAAGCAGAACAAGAATTTACAGGGCATGGTGTCCCACTACAAACAGATTATTGTTGACACTGAGGGAATGCTGAATAACCTTCAGAGCCATGTGGAGTCTGAGGAGTCTAGGTGGCAGTCGGAGTTAAGACTTAAAGAAAATGAGATTGCCAATCTCAGGGTAGAACTTAAAGAACTCCTGAGTAAGACTAACATCAGTGACAAGGTGAGCATTCTCAATTAATTCCATTCATCTCTAATTTAATTTAATAAAAAGAAAATCCCTCGATTAAAATGAAGAGATAAATCTCATGATTCTGTACCATCTGATGCATGCATGGGGAACAGACTAATGAAAACGAGGATTCAACTTTCTATGACAGTGATGGAGTTGAATTTGCATTTAGCTGTATTGAAAAATCCCTTCCAGCAATCACGAGTGAGGTATAATCCAGGGGGCGAAGGGGCAAAATGGACACTAGACTTTTTTTAAATGTTAAAAGTTCATTCAGTTAATGAAATTTGAGTGAGCACAAATTGAGCTCAATTGATCAGTTTATCCCGGAATTGAGAATATTTTTTAAAAAGTCTGAAGTGTCGGTTATGCCTCACCTTCCCCGAATGTTCGTTGGAGCTCCATGATTTTTCCCCTTTTTTTACACTATCAGAAAAAATGGAATGAAACTGAAATGAAATTTCATGGACAGTTCATTGAATTGAATTTTGTTTTTAATGAAATCCCTTGAAATTTCGGTTTACTCGTAATTTTTGTCATCTCGTTGGAAAATTTGTGAGGCATTTCTATGGTTTACAGCTCCAAGAGAAAATATCAAACTTGGAGACTCATTTGGCTGCAGAGGAGGCCGCGAAGGAGGAAGCTAAGGCTGAATTAATTGCACTCAAGACAACACACACACCTGTCAAAGGTGGTGCTGTCAATTTTGCCCACTTAGAACAACTCCAGGAGGTAATTACCATTAATTTTTATAGATAATTATGTGACAGAAGATATTCAAACATTACATATTATTTATTTCAACAGGAAAAACAAAGACTAGCCCAAGAACTTCAAGCTGAACGCAGCGAGTTGTCAGTTCTTCATTCGGAATTGAAGAAATTACGATCCGTCGTGGATAAAAATGAAGCTGAAATCTCTAGACTGGAGGTAAAGTATTCACCATAATTCTCTATCACTCGAGACAGGAAATAGCTATCTTATGAATTACTAGTCTCTTGTCTATGTTCACTTGATAATTTATTGATAAAATTTATTTCTTTGAATTTTAGAAAGTGGCCAGTGGTGCTAGCAGTACCCCAGACCAATCAGCAATGAATGGGCCCCCATCTACAGGCGCATCGAAGCCTGAGGTTCGTATTAAAGGCATGATACCCTTGAAATAACAATTGTTGAATGAATGGCAATTATTCTGATAAATTTATTAATCACTCCGTAATGTTTTCAACTATTCTCTACTCAAACTGCTTATTAATGTTTGAGTAATTAGTAATTGCCAGACATTTTGAGTCAATAACAATTACTAACAGTAAGATTAATTGTGTTAAATATATTTCCCCCCCCCCCCCCGATCTCTAATGATCCTCTCGAATACACGCAGCAAACAAGAACTTCAGAGTCACTGATAGCTGCTATTGAAAAAACGTTAATCAAGAGTGCTGGTAGTGATAAATGTACAATAGACGATAAAAATACGATTCAATCACCGCAAGAGAGTGACAACAGCTCAATGACCTCTGAATTAAATACAAATAATTTTCATACGACGGGTAATGACACACAGACTTGCTGGAATCCTATGAATGGCCAGCAGCAAAANTGTTAAATATATCCCCCCCCCCTGATCTCTAATGATCCTCTCGAATACACGCAGCAAACAAGAACTTCAGAGTCACTGATAGCTGCTATTGAAAAAACGTTAATCAAGAGTGCTGGTAGTGATAAATGTACAATAGACGATAAAAATACGATTCAATCACCGCAAGAGAGTGACAACAGCTCAATGACCTCTGAATTAAATACAAATAATTTTCATACGACGGGTAATGACACACAGACTTGCTGGAATCCTATGAATGGCCAGCAGCAAAAAAAACACAAGAAAAAGAGGAAGGTAATGAGACTCAATGAATGAACAAAAATGAGAGAACACTTTTTATGTCGAATCTGTTTATTTCCATGGGAAAATTTGAAAAAAAAAAATTGCGTTCTGCTGGGATTTATTCATTGGCTATTTCGTTGGTGCATCCTTTCATTAGTTTATTTTTATTTTTTCGTAGAATTGTTGATTTTATCGGCGTCTCCGTTGATAAAAGTATTCCCTTGATTCTATTTTTCGAAAAGATAAACCATGTGATGTCTTATTATTCTCTAGATACTATGAATAAACATTTTGTCATTGGGTAGAGCTCGAACTTTTCATTTTCTATGTTTTTTTAATCTCTGTTGGTATTTTTTGTTTGGTAGTAGGAGAAATTTGGCATGTGATTCTCTGGGGCAAAGGGATGATATTTTTTTGGGTTCTCCTTCTCTCTTGATTTATCTCAATCTACAATGAATCAATGATCAAAGTGCTGCGCCCCAGTGTTTGACTTCGTACCAATAAATCTAGAAGTTAAGGCTCAAGGAGCGAATAAATGAGAGGAATTGGCTAGGGAATGTTTGAAATAGTATTGAGCTGCTCGAAATTATTGAGGGACCTTTGGAGTATAAATTAAGTTACATTATTTTTGAGTCGTGAATAGAGAAAAATAACAAATCATCTTTCCGTTGTTCTGGCAGTCCACTAAGAAAGCTACGTCAAAGAGGCGCAGATTTGCAGGTATGACAAAATTATAAAGAGATGTTGAAAGTGTTTCTCATGTCGTCGTTTGAAAGGGGGTTTAGACAGCTATTTATAGAGCCACATAAACCGTTTTTATATCATTTTTTTTATGCTATTTTTTATTCATCTTCTTTATTTCATTACATTTCACTTCATCGTCGATAGTTTGAGGCACTCATTGCGTAATTTTGCTTTTAAAAAATCAAGCCACTATCGGTTTATGAAATAGAATGGAGAATAATCGAGGGAGTCAAATAATGAATTATTGACTGCATAATTTTTTGGATTGGATAATGTTTTTTTCGCTTAATGTAGAAATTTCTGCTTTCAATTCACACTTTTTTTTTTCGAAATTCCAGGGGGAAAATTATTATTTGCTTTCAATGTTTTTTTTTTTCAATTTTTGTTATTTTGAATTTGTGGTCGTTTTTTTATTTTTTGACTTAGTGCTGAGTGTGTTTGGCATCTTGATTGTCCCGAACATTTTGAATGGATCAATTCATGGCATCAATCAATCATCATTCATTTCTCCAGGATGAAGTGAAATAATTAAATTGACAAAAATTTTTTATGACTGATTGGAGAGTGGCTTTCACTATTTGCTTGATATTACGAGAATAACAGTAATTAGACAGGATTTGAGAGGTTTCGGTCATTCATTTTTAAAAAATAGAAATTATAATTTGCTTCGAGGTTTATGGGCTTTCCTGAATAAAATCGACAGAAGGAGGAGTTGATTAAATTGATCAAGTATATTTGGTAATCGAGGGAGTGGTGCAGCAGATAGTTAGATTGAGCATTAAAAACGGAGGTCAGGTGATGAATAATTTGATAGTAAAACACCTGTAAATAGTAAATGGAGACAATTATTGGGGTGAAGTGCAAACACTGGGGTGAAGGGTACACATTGTTCATCCACTGAATTTTCAAAATCCATTTGGCACTTTATTCTCAGTTATTTAACTCACCTTAACACTCATAATTTTTCTTTATTTTTCGTCGTTTTCTTTCAGCAATCACTAGCTCTAGAAGTTTGAAAAATTGAATTTGTAGAAATTGTACTTTTTCCTGTACATCTCGAATCTTCTTCATTCCAATTTGCACTCGTGTTTTGCTGAGTTTGTTGAATTTTAGAAACAACACGATCTGCATTTTCTCGTTATATCACTTTCTTTTTGTTCAACTTGACGTTTTGTAGTCAGCAAATTTTCTTTTTCTGTATATTCTATTGACAAGAAGATTTATTAAACTTCACTCGATTTTTTTTACCACAAAATTCAATGCTAAAGCGATTATTTAATTTGCTTTCTACCTTGTATCTTCTGTTCAGACTATTTATTACTGTGTTTTTGTCCACGTGAACCTATGTGTCTTGATTAATAACTCACGCATCAAGGGAATGAGTACCTGTGCACAGGAAAAATCCATCGTAAACATTGGTGTACATAGAAATACCTATTATATATTCATTGATTTAATGATCATTTAATTTTTCAGGGTGGTTCAGGAAAAAAGTAACATCTAGAACAAAACTACGCTAATGAAGAAATGTATCTCGAGAGTTGGTAGAGAATGCGATAAAAAAAGACTAATATAATAATTGAATATTATTGAATAATGTTTATTATATAAAAAATATCATATTTTATTATGTGGAAAAAAAAGTATAAAGGAATAAAAAAGCAACAGACGCGAGTAGATGGGACGCGAGGGATTGGTAGACGGACAAAAGCAATTGTAAATGGAAGAAAATTAAGCGAAAACCAAAAAAAAAAGGGGGGGGACAGAGAACATCACCGATTTTCCAATCACCATTTCTAGACTTTTTTTCGAAGATTATTAATGAACAAGTAAACGCAATGAATTTAATTATTAATTAGAGATAATTGATCGATTTTTTTTTTCACTATTGTCAGTCGAGAAAATGACAAATTACCACGATTAGTGATGGGAATAGTCGTTTGAAACCAAGAGATTGAATTCAATTATTACAATTTTAATTGCACCAATGATTAAAATCAAATTGGATGTTGATTAGTGAGGGGAATAATTAAAATTAACGATCAAGTCGTGTCAAGCAATTCTCATTGAATTTTTTAATGACTTGGAATGAGGAGACGAGGAAATTAATTAATTATGGAAAGTATAATTGATATTCTTGCTCTCTGATTCCATTTCTCAACGCAATTGCAGTTATCGATGAAGTAGTTCAGCAATCGCACGTGCAATAATGAAAATGTAACGAAGCGGACGAACAAATGAAATTGATATAAAATAGTCCTGTTTATGAATGAAATTAATAACTGATTGATGAAATTTGATGGCTTTTGCGCGCAAATAAAAATTAATTAAAATCATGTAATCGAAATAGATTTCTGTTTTTTTTTTGCGAAAACGCTGAGAACAGTCCAGAGTAATTATTTAATCATTGACGGTTTTATTAATCATAGATATATTTTTCATCGTATTAAAAAAAAGTATATTTAAAAAACAGGGAATCATATCAAAAATTGCCAAGTAACAAATGATTAATAAGAACTGAGGGAAATGGGAAATTTATTTTGGGGTTGAGTGAGATGAAATCCTTTTTTTTTACACATTCTCTCTCTCATTTTGTGCATTTTTTTGCAATTGAAGAATTTAAACTACGTTTATTGCGTTCTTAATACTCATACAAAAACCATTGAAATCCTCGGAGATTCATTTGATATTGTCATGTTACTGAATCCCAAAGTTTTTAACAGCGTAAGAATTGAATTCACTGGAGATGGGCTGAAGAATATGGAAAAATTCTCGAGAAATATAACGTTAATCTCGAAATTAACCGAGAGATTCCATGAAAATGGTATTCAGGGTTTGGTGAATGAAAATAAATGAGTGAGATGTCTTCTTGCACTGAGAATTTTCAACAAATGCATGGAAAATTCAACGTGAACATTTATAATGCCAATTTTTTTAACATTTACCAACACCACCAAACCCTGCTAATGAAATGAAAATTTAATGGAAAAATGGAATAACCAGCCTAAATGGAGAAATAATATAATACAAGCTGATCGCTATTATTATGATGAAATAAACATTTTTTCATTCAATACCGTACTTATTTTATATACATTTTATATACATGCAGAATTAAGGGAAAAATATTAACGAAAAATAATTAATTGTAATTCGATTGGACAGTGATGATAATTATTGACAAAATCAACAGACTCAAAAATTTAATAATTTATTGAGGTGAAATTAATTGCTAAGGCCGACACTTTATTATTTAAAATCAACTGGAACAATCAATTATTTCGTCCAATCGAAGAGATTATCTTTTTATTCCCAATGAGAAGTGACGAGAAAAACCGAACAAAAGTGCATTTTCACACTTCACCAAGACTCAAAACCAATTATATGTTATCTGTTGTTTAATTCTCTGTTAAAATCATTAGAAAATGAAGAGACAAGAAATCCACACAGTGATGTTGTTGAACTTTTAAAAGAAAAATTAAAACCATTGGGTCAGCCTTACTGAATTTGATGATGAAACTAAAAATTCTGGTAGTATCTTATTATTACGACAGTTGCAATACATAGCATTAAATGAACAGAAGAAAATACTAATAATAAAGTATATGTACCCTGCAATAATGAAGATTTACTCATTCATTCTCCCTCACCCTCAAATAACGACACAGTATTTTGTTGTCATAAAAAAGTTGTATTGAATTTTCAACTCTAGGTCTATATCACAGGCTGAGATAATTCCATCTACAAGCGATCTACTAATCTACTTGAACATATTCTGCAAGAAGCCGAGAATGTAGCTCCCCAAATCCTCATCCTGATTGGTCCAGGACACGTAGATGGTCTTCTGATCGTCCTCATTCCCCTCGACCATCACCACAACAGACTCCACTGAGATTGAGCCCTCGGTCATTTGCAGCTGCCAGCCCTCGAGTTTCTCCTGCAGTAGTGGAAGGAGTTTGAGGGTCGTGGCGTGTGGAGGGTCTGGATCCCTGACTTGGACAGTTGACGTGAACCTCACCACGTGTTTGGGGATGCCAGCGGCCTTGGCAGCTTCGTCTGCATCCACCAAGCAGACTCCATCCTCCCTGAGCATGAGAACTGAATGGAGAAGTCTCCTCCTCTTGGGGTCTGGAGGAAGAGCCGAGTACCTCTTGGCTTCCCCTTTCAGCAGAGCCAGAGAGGCGTCCACAGGGACTTTGGAGCTCGTCGTGATGACACAGGTCTCCCCATTCGCTGGATTGTAGCAGTTCACCCCATACTCCTGCTTAATTTTATCCTTCAAGTACTCCATCTTGGCGAATTCCCCGTGAACCAGCATGACATTCTTTGGCTCGCAGTACTGAATGAGCTGCATGATACCTTTGGCGTCGGCATGAGCAGAGAACGACATGTACTCGACTGCCATCTTCACCTCGACAATTTGGCGATTCTCGAACTCAATGCGTTTAGCTCCACTCAAAACCTTGTGACCAACTGTCCCCTGAACGCAGAAACCAGGCATTATCACCATATTCAGCTCGTTGGGCGCCCACTTCTTGAATATCTGGAGGGAGAGGCCTGCATGCAGCATTCCTGGAGTTGCAAACACCACCATAGCCCCTGGATTATCGATGTAGGCTTTGTCGAAGGGCTTGATGTGCTTGAAGTCAAACATATTCCTCTGGACAAATGTCTTCTTGATCTTCTGGTTGGTCCAAGTGATGAACATTTTGTAGTAGTTGTTGGCCTTCTCTGTGAGCCCCAGGGCGAAGTAAACGGGGACCTTGAGGTTCATTCTCTCCCAGTACGTCTCGAGGAGGATGCAGAGCTCCTGGGCCCTCCCTAGGGCGAAAACTGGAATGAGAATCTTGCCCCCTCGGTCTATGCACTCGTGCACCTTCTTCAGGAAGTCTCGCTCTCTGCAGCGTTTCGAGTCTCTGATTGTCGTTGCGTACGTGGACTCGGAGATCAGGAGATCTGGACGACATTTGTCGATCCAGGCAGCCCCCAAGTGTCTGTCTGGCGTCATGTTGTAGTCTCCAGTGTAGACTATTGACTGGGAACCAACTCTGATCCAGAACATCGCTGCCCCTAGGACGTGGCCTGCGTAGTAAGCTTTAATCTCGAGCTCAGAGTCAACCATCACCGACTGGTGGAGGGTCACTGCTATCACTTTCTTCATGCAGTCTTTTATCATTTGAGAGGTGAAGAAGTTGCTCTCACCTTTCCTCTCAACAGCGACTTTCCTCATGTCCTCCAGGAGAATTGGGGCGATGGCTTTTGTGGGGTGGGTCATGTAGATTGGACCTGTGTAACCGACCTGTAGAGAGGAATAACATCGTGATGATGAGGTGGAGAGAATGCGTGTACTAGGAGCGTTTGAATTGTTCCCCGGAAAATTTGAGTTTTCAAGGAATATCTCCGAATCTAAGGGAGATGGCGAAATTTTTGTAATTACCTTTTTTGTAGGGCGAATTGAGAACTACAAAAAAGGTCATGACAAAAATTTGGCTATATCCCTTAGATTCGGAGATATTCCTCAAAAACTCGGCTGAAGTTGATTTTTTACTGTTGGTCAGTTTTCGATGAATATCTCGGAATCTAAGGCAGATAACAAAATTTTTGTCAGAAGCTTTTCTGTAGAGCGAATTGAGAACTACAAAAAAGGTCATGACAAAAATTTGGCTATATCCCTTAGATTCGGAGATATTCCTCAAAAACTCGGCTGAAGTTGATTTTTTACTGTTGGTCAGTTTTCGATGAATATCTCGGAATCTAAGGCAGATAGCAAAATTTATGTCAGAACATTGTCTGTAGAGCGGATTGAGAGCTACAAAAAAGGTCATGACAAAAATTTGGCCATCTGTCTTAGATTCGGAGATATTCCTCAAAAACTCGGCTGAAGCTGATTTTTATTGTTGGTCAGTTTTCGATGAATATCTCGGAATCGAAGGCAGATAGCAAAATTTATGTCAGAACATTTTCTGTAGAGCGGATTGAGAGCTACAAAAAAGGTCATGACAAAAATTTGGCCATCTGCCTTAGTTTTCGAGATATTCATTGAAAACTGACCAATAGTCAAAATCGACCTGAACCGTTTTACCGTTTCACTACTGAAACTTTATTCAATACATTAACACGGATAAACATCCCCTCCCATCCGTGTTCTTACCATTTCTGTGAAGTAGGGGAGGGCCCCACAGTGATCCAAGTGAAAGTGAGAGATGATAACGCAGTCGATGTGGTTGGTGGTGGGCCCCTCAGGAACGATATAAGAAAAATCAGGAAACCTCCTCTCGTCGTTGAACCCCATGTGCATTCCACAATCCAGCATTATGTTTTTCCCGCCCATGGAGACCAGAATGCAGCTTCTGCCCACGTCCTGTCCTGCCCCCAGTGGAGTCACCTTGATGTCAGGCATTTTATCCAAGTTATTTTACTCTCAAGTGTCTTTTCAATACTATCAACCCACGAAAGTGTTATTTATCGTGAAATTTTGGGGAGAAATCTCGGAGTAACATCGGTCTAACCTCAACAGAACACTTCATTCAGAACGCACAACGAGTGTACTTATTATTTTATCAGAACTCAAGGGAATTGAGCACTGGAATTAATCTAAATTAATTAAAGTCAAAGTGTTTTTGCTTTGAATGGACTTGCTCTATTGTTTCACCAGATAAATACTGTTTTTTCACCGCTCACGACTGCCCAATCGATCGACAATTGATGGACCTCAGAGCCACGTGGAAGACCTTGAAACTATCCATAAAAAAAAAGGAATAAACAAAAAATAAGTGCAAAATTGAAAAACTGATTGAGTGATGACGTACTATGACGTCAAAATGCACTCATTCCACTAAAAAAAATATCAATTATAAAATATTAAGAAGGAGCAGAAATGAAAAACCCATACAAATTAGAAATAAATTAATAAAATCTATATTTATTTCGTTTTAGAACAGAGAAAGGAAAGAATTCTTTTTTTTCGACGTTTATATCATTTATACGATAAACTAGAAAAAGAAAAACTGCGGATAACTCCTCTCATTACTTCACATAGTACGCCGGGCAAATATTTATCGGATTTATTAAGCTATACACAAAAAAAGTCAGTCCCAAGTGTTACAATTGCTGAGGACAAGTGTCTTCACCCAGCGAGGAAAAAAATACGCTTACAGCCTTTTCTTCATTAATCATAATAATTAATAATTAACCCTCAATCATCGTTATTGTTCCCCCCCCCCAGCCCTCGCTGTGACCCACCAACCAATCCAATTTATTTTAACGCCTTTAAACTCGTTTTTATTTTCATTTATTTTTTTTCAAATTAATTGTTCTTGCTCTGCATCGTCACAATCACTTGAAGATTAACAATAGTCTTTTCCAGCATATCAACCCATGAAGAATTATTAAGTGAACACATGAGTTGATTATTACATGGCTCAGCGGTGGTGGAGCCAGAGATGGTGGAGGTGATGGCAGAATTAGCACTAGTAGTAACATTAACACTGTTCAATGTTTTCTCTCCAGATCTCTCGCCACCATCTCTAATGGTCTTGTCACATTTCTCCTTTTCACTCTTGTCCTTCTCCTCGACATCCATACTGGGATCGACAGCCTCCCCCGCAGGATCCATCACAGTCTCAGGGGAAGTCTCCCCCTCTGTTGTCTCTCTCTCCTCCCTCTTCTCGTCGTTGCCAAATTTTCGTTTTTTCGCTGGTGCCTCGCTCTCCTGGCTGCTCTCCTTGGTTTTCACCGCCCTGACCCTAGCCAGGAGAGTGTCGAGAGCTGGTTGGAGGGAGGCAGGTGGCTCGAGCCTGCTGCCACTGCTGTAGACGAGGGCCAGGGCCCGAAGATCCCCTGTCAGCCTGGGGGCAGAGGTCTTCACGTCGACAGCCTCCACCATTCCACTGAGAGAGGACACGACGTTGTCGATGAGGGAGCACGTTTGCTCGGTGAGCACGTGGCTCGCCAGCTTCGGGAAGAAGGTCTTGAGGAATGCGTGGATGGCAGGGACAGAGAGGGAGGACCTCTCGTCGAGCAGAACAGCGTCGACGTAGTCAACAGTGTAGGAGGAGCACAGGAGTGCAGCTATGTGCTTCCTGTCTATGTGACTGGCGGCATGGACATCCAGCCAGAGCCTGGGGAAGAGAGCGAGGTGCAGTGGGACTCCCTCGAACCCCAGCATTGCACTGAGATTGATGAGAGTGTCGGTCATGCAGTCGTTATTAATGGCCAATCTGCACATGACGTCGATCAACTCGTGATAGGGAAGATAGAACTCGAGGAGGGCTGAGTCGTACTCTGGATCGACTCCTTTAGCAGCTTCCAGCTGTGAGTGGGGGACAGCCATCTGGACCATTGGTCTGGCGGGTCTGGCAGCCATTTTGCCAACAGCTGCCGATGTGGATCTTCTCGGGAGGTAGGGCCCCGGGGGGACAGCAGCGTGGGACTCCTGGAGGGCTGCGTGACAGTGGGAGAGCAGGGGCGCCAAGATGAGAATGGCCTCGGCTGGGACCAGCATGACGAGCTCCTTCAGCAGATCGATCGCCAGGTTTCGAAGCTCTGGGGGGTTGTAGGTGTTCAATAAGGTTGCCAGCTTCCTCAGGATCTCTGGCCACTCCTTGCAGTTCGCCAGGATGCTCCTGGGGTCTGGGCTGTCTCTGGAGGTTCTGACACACCTGACGCATCTCACCAACTCGACGATTATGGCGATGAGCTCTGCCAGATCCCCAGCTACGTGACACGCCGTCGCCTCGTGGTACATTATGTGCAGCATGTGGAAGGCTTCCAGAGCCATCCCCAGGCCACCGTTGTACACGACGTAGAGACGATCGTCGTCGGATTCTATCAGAATCCTGAAGGCCGAGATGAGCGTCGCCCAGCAGGATCTGCCGTCCAGACCCTGGAGGTAGGAGGAGAGGGTTCCGCGTCTGAAGGAGGCGATCTCTGACTCCTCTTGCTCGGTTTGGTCGGGGTGACGAGCCACCAGCAGCTGCATCAGCTTGAAGAGCTCGTCCACTGCTGTTGAGTACTGAGTTGGGTGGGGGGTGATGTTCTTGAAGGCCCACTGGATATTCTGGTGCGCTGCTAACTGACGAGTGAAGGTCCGCGATTGCTGGCAGCAGAGACGTAAGAGGCCGTAGTACGCTGGCAGCATCACTCGGTTGAAGAGGACAACGTCCTGGTCCTCGTGATCGGCTCTAGAAAGTACATTAAATATTTCAGGGGGAATTTTTTGTTGAGGCGTTTTCCATTTTCCTTTCTTATAGTTATTCTGACGTAATCCATTTTTTTTACTGTTTCATTTTGCCCTATTCTCACCTACTATTTCATTTTAGACTTCACAATTGGATTAATTTAATTTTATCCAGTCTTATTCTTATTATATACATTTTTTCCTTAATTCACGCGTTGCGACATTGAATGAAGAGAAATTTAGTTTAAAAATCATAGTCATTCGAAATCTCATTCGGGTAATAGAAAAATCTCGCCATGTATTCTTGAAAATTTTTAAAATGTGTTTTTCCATATTATGGAAAGGAAATGAAAAGACTCAGAAAGGGATAATCGGCTAGAAAATGGATTTTTTTTTCTTCTTTTTTGTCGGAGGGAACTTGGAGTGACTTTTTTTCTTAAATATTAGAAGAATATCCATAAATTCGATTTCTATCTTTGTCTTTTGATAGAATGAATAGAATAAATGACAGAAATTGAGAATTGGTGACTACAAATTTTACCGCATTATTATTACGTAATTTCACTCCATAATTTTCTGTCAACAGTTGCAAAAAAAAAAATCAGTGAAGTTCCAAACGTTTTTGTAATACTTACAAAATATAATTAAATGCAATATTCTTTGTGACGTGCGGATTATGCAGGATCATAGCGACATTTTCTGGACAATCAGAACACACGTGGTACCAGAAGAGGAGAACTGCCTGCTTGTTATGATGCACTGGAATACTGGGCTCTGAGAGTTTCGGGTGAAAGAGACTCCAGAGATCATTCAAATACTGTCCAAACATGATTTTCTCGGTTTTAGAGATGACGCAGTAAGTCATGAGTGCGAAGTAAGCAGTGAGTTTCATGGTTCCATGGCTCTGAATGTCGATGTAATGCCTGGCAGGCTGAAGGAGCCTCAAGAGGGCAGTGTAGATCTGATGGAGAATGAGAGTGGCCTCAGGGGACAACTGAAACTCCCGATTTGAGTTGCATCCTAGGCCGAGTCTGTGGGCAGACCTGTAGCCCTGTCTGAAGTGGCTGGAGGGTACAAGGGAGACCAGCAGAAAGGCAGCAGCAGACCTGACCCTCTGATTCGAGTGTTCAATGAGGAAATGTTGGAGCCAAGTGTCGAGTCCCTGGAGGACCCAAGCATGAGCCAATTTACTTCTAGTGACAGCGAGGGCCAGCCACTCGAGGGCGCCATGAGGAGCGACCCTGGCGGCCTCCCAGACTCTTCCTAGGATGAGTTGAGTCATGCAGGGCAGCCCTGTATTCACAGAGGGTCCAGATCCCTCGGTCAAAAGGGTCAAGAGCTTGAAGAAGGGCTGACAGACGTCTGTGTGCTTTGTAATCGCCTGGAATATCATCGTGACGATGTGAATCGCCAGTCTATCGTTCCACCTGCACAACGACAGAATTAGATTCTTGGTCTGAGTGAGATTGATGACGTCCCTGGTCTGTTGGTACAGAAAGGGAAATCCCTTTCCACTGGCAACTGCACTCAGATCAGCTTGGGACAGTGTCAACTGGTGATTAGCTCCTCTGCTCCTCTCGACGAGACTCGCAATCAGCGTTATCATCTTGTCGAGAGACGCTGGTCTGAGTTTCTCAGCAGGGACAGCCACAACCACTTCCTCCTCTTCCTCCTCCTCCTCCTCTTCGCTCACAGTGTCCACCATCTCGTGGGTCTTGTGACCGAGGTAAAAGTTTATCATGGTGGAGATGGCCTGTACCCTAATCAGGAAGAGAGTCTCCTCCTCCCCCATCTTGCTGAATTCGTACAAGAAGCTGAAGTACTCGGTCAGGTGTTTCAAGTGCTGTTTAGCGTGCTCCATCAGGGACAAGAGCATTCTCACGAATCTAGTGACACAGGACTGCGTTCCCACAGTGTTCACAGCAGATCCATCGGGCTCCGTTTCAGTATCATTGGACGTTAGCAAGTAGAGAGGTGCCTGGGTTGCCCTCAGTCTCTGAATCACGTGGATACACAAACGCTGGAACATCTGTCTCACCATCTGATTGGGACACTTGACTAGTATCTGAATTGGCCACCACGAGTCACTGGCCATTCTCTCGAGAAATCTGGCGCACGCACCGTTGGAACCATTGAACTGCTTCGTCAGCAACTCAACCCACTGCACCATCGTCGGCTTCTCTTTAGCATGAATGAAAGTCTCCATGAAGAATGACGTCGACAGCTCTGCAGACATCTCAGTGACGTCAGGCTGAATCGAGAGGAGAGTCTGTGGTATGTAGCCACAGATCTGCCACATGAAGCTGAAGTACGTGTGCTCGAAGATATTTTTATCCTGGAGGAAGTGCATATTGTCCTGCCATATCCAGTCCTCGAGTTCTTTGTTCAGCTCCAGGGTGGGGAGTTTATCCCCTAATACTTTGAGATCCTCGTGGGACGACTGGGACATACTGACAGTCCCTGGGCTGGAGCCAGTCGCCTCCTCCTCTCGATTGTGACCCTGATCATTGGGGTCTGCACACCACTCGTAAAACAACATGTACGCTGAGTTTGTCTTCTCGAAACTGAAGTCCATGAATTTATCAGTGACTGAATCGTACGTTTTGCTGGTCATTTCTCCCCCGAAACACTCGGCTGCCAATTGACTGGGGTCGAAGGGCTTCACCTCGGCGTCATTGAAGAGGAACCACTTGTCCTTATTCGCTGACGTTCTGTCCTTGATGAAGCTGTAGTAGTGACCCCCATCGGCAGTCCCTGTGTGCACCGTCACACCTATCAAATCGTACTGATAATGCTCAGCTCTGTGCTCCTCCTCCTGATCCTCCCTCTTGCTCTTCATCTCCTCCTCCTCCTCCTCGTTCTCACACTCAGTCTTCTCAGTCTCGCACTTTCGCTTCTCATGATGGGACATGAGTTTCTTCTCCACGTACCCTGACATGTCCAGTCTCAGAGGGAAACTGAAGTGAGTGTTGACTTTTTCCTTCAACATAGTCCCCATGTTGAAGGTGTACCTCATGGTATTGAAACAGAGAATGTGGGGGAGTTTTTTGAAGCAAGCCCTCTTCTCAGCCCTCGCTTTCTTGCCACACTGGGAGCACGTGTACATGTTGTCCCCCTCGAGGGTGTCCTTCACCGTGACCTCGTCGAGGCTCTCGTAAAGATTCCTCATGTCAGCCACCTGACACCTGACCGTGTAAAACTCCTCCAGAGTTCTGCTGACGTGTTCACAGTCCAGGGAGACGACATTGTTGGAGATTACACCACAGAACAGCGTTTTCACCAGGTCCTTGAGGTCTGACGTCATCTCTTCGAGTTTGGAAACGAGATCGATGAAGAACTCGGCCATGTCCTTCTGCTCCCCAGTGTTCAGGGGCTCGTGGTTCATCGTGTAGACCCTGCAGAAGGACCTGGGGTTGTAGGCCTTTCGTTCAGACTCCAATAAATAAGCGAACATCCTCTGGAGTTCGCGCAGGGTCAGCTGGTGTTTGTTAGCACGATTGCACTCGGCGTGGAGGATGGCAGCCCTCGCCTGTGGCATCATGTAGAGGTGCTGCATGCAGCTAGCCATGTAGCAGGTCGCCCCGAGGTTCGTCAGCCCCACGTACCCACAGTCAGCCCTGCCATCCTCGTGTGGCCAGTAGTCCCAGGGATAGGGAGAGTGTGGCCCCGGCTTGTGCTGTGTCAGCAGCTTCTCGTGAAGGATTCTGTAGTTATCAGGCGCCGATTTAACGAGCTCCACCAGGAGATCAAAAGCCGCTGACCTCGACACCTGGCTCTTGCACTTTGGGACGTGTTTCATCTTGGAGTTTGGCAATGCAAAGAGAAAATCGAAGACTCTGTTCAGCAGGTTCTTTCCAGTCTTCGATTGCTTGCAGGGGGGATTGTGCGTCATAATGTTGCAGGTGAGGTTGAGAAGGCCCACTAGGGCATCGTCCTCGACGGTGTTGTGTCGAGTCTCCAGGTGTTCTCGAAGTAAAACAGAGTCTATGACTCTGCTGGCCAGGGCCTCGAGGTCGATGGTCGCTGTCGACTGCTCGGACTCCTCTGGTGCTTCAGGGAACCTGATGGCCTCCTCAGGAAGGGCGTCCACCAGCCTGCAGACCAGCCAGAAGTAGTCCCTGCAGGCAGGGCCATAGGGCTCCTTTCCATCCTCGTGGATTACAGAGTGGAGATGAAGGGGGAGGTCCGGACGACGCCTGTGGGACGGGTGCATCGCCTCGGCGACGTGCAGGTGCTCCAGGAGAATATTCAACATCGGAACAATCAGTCCTGTTCTGTCGCAACGTCTCTCCGAGGGATTCTCCTCCTTGTCGTCGTCAGAAGTTGAAGCTGCTGATGTCGTTCCCAGGCACAATTTGTATAGAGCTGTGCAGATTTCTCGTCTGACTGCGGGCTCTGGGTCGTCCAGGACTAGTCTTCGCAGCCAGGTCCTTCCGAAAGATTCAGACGTCGAGCAGAAGAGGTTCTGCCTGATGGTTGGGTCACTGTGCACCCAGCAGACGAGCAAAGCCATCGTGTAGTGAATCACCTGAGATCGGCCAAAGAGCCCAGTCTTGTAGTGGTTTGGATCCTTCGGCAGGGAGGCCTCGTTCAGAATACTGGTGATCCTGGACATCACTGAGTCCACTGACATCATCGACAGCATCGCCTCGGACAGTCGTGGAACGATGAGCTTCTCCTGGGATTTATGACGTTTTTTCTCCTCTCGAATGACCCCCAGGTGGCACAATTGCTTTAACAGACTTGCGAGGCAATCCTGCTGCCATTCACTGCCATCGCCACGCTCGAGGCATCCCGACATGAAGATGTCGAAGAGGTGGCGGAGGCCTCCGTGCTGGACGAATAAAGTGGACCAGGGGATGGCGTCCTCCTCCTTCTGATCAGTCCCTTCGTTCTCCTCGACATCAGCTGATTTGGAGCTCGAGGACGACGAGGCAGGGACTGGGGTCCTTCTACTCAGGGACTCAATGATGTAGAGGGAGTACATGAGCTTCTGGGGACTCGCTGGATCCAGTAAATCGGGCAGAGACGCCTCCTCGAGCTTCTGGAAGCCTCGAAGGAGAGTTGGACTCGTTGGCAACAACGTCAGGGTATCCCAGACCCTTCGGGATAAAACCTGGGCTTTGGTGTGTGGGATTTTCTGTCCCCCTTTCACCGAGGATTTCATCGCACTCAGGGTTCTCATCAGCGTGAACAACTGCTCGAAATACTGGGGTCTGAGTAGTAAAAGCGTGGGTAAGCATTCCCTCGGCGGTGGTGGCAGCAGCGAAGGTGAATCCATGTCTCTCTTCCCTCGATTCCCCACGTTGCCACGTCCCCCAGAGGCCCCAAGGGAAATGAAGACCAATTGTCCGTCCTTGAACCCCATCTCCTGGAGCGTCTTCTCGTCGTAATCGAACGTCAACTCCTGCCCCTGAGTGATCATTCTGATTGGGCCGTCGGTGAGGAGAGTCCCCAGGACTGAATTTCCTGTGCTTGATGTCCCCGAAGATCCGGCTTCTGCATTAATTCCTGAAGAGCTGCTCGAGGACTTGGAGTTTTGAGTGTCGTCCCACCATTTGGCCACTTCGGCCCTCAGATCAGCGACGAAATCAGTGCTCAGCAGTGAGAAGCTCGTTTTATCTGGAATTCCAGCTGGCTGGACGAAGATCTTGAGGTGCTGACCCTTCTCCGAGGAGCTCATGGCCAGGTGGGAGCCTGCGCCCCTTCCCTCGAGTGCCCATCTCCTCAGATGATAGGCGTATCTCTTTCTGAAGGCCTCCAAGTGGGTCCTGAGGAGGAGGAGGGCTCGCTGGATGCACCTGAGACTCGCCTCCTCGTTGTGCTCGAGGTCACCACTGGCAGCAGCCAAGTGGGTCATGCACTGAGAGACAAATTCAGCTTCTTGGGTCAACTGACGTGACATGTAGTAGCCGTTGAGGTACTGGATCGCTGCCATGCTGACGTCTGTTGATTTGGCTCGAAGGGCGATCCTCCAGAGGAAGTCCATTCCTATCGAGTCGACGTCCCTCAGGGGCCTGTCCAGGTGGGCTGCAGCCAGTCTAGCTAGATTGCAGAGCTGCTGGAAGAGGCTCAGTCCTGTCATGCTGATGGTCTCTGGGGGCAGGGACGGCAGTTTTCTCATGCAGAGGTGCTTCAGGGTGTCCATACCGAGGGCATGCTGCTCGGTGGACTTTGCCTGGCTCAGCAACCAACTGAAGAGCTCATCGGCGCAGGTCGAATCCTGGGAGAGACACTGCCAGAGTATGTCCACCTGCTCCAGACTCAGTCTGAAGCAGTCGGGCGATCCCATGGGGGAAAATATCGATGATAAAAACTGGAGGCGAACCTGGACCTCAGTCTGGTGTGAATACAAGTTGGAGGTGCTCGAGTTGACGTTGTTGGCGTAGTTATTTGAGTATGTTTTCAGATTATTGAAGAAGTGCTTCATCATTCCTCGTTCTCTGTCGGCCCAGGTGGTGATTGTGTGGGCGTCCATAGCCCCAAATTGCTGGAAACTGGCTAGTAATTTTGGGAGGAGTCGCAGAGACACCACTACCGATCTGTTGGCTGCCAGATTCTCCAGACAACCTTCGATGAACTTCATGGGGATGAGACGATCGACGTTGAAGCATAATAAATTACAGAGGGCCTTTTCCGCCTCGAGGGCGAGGCCCTCAGCAAGTTGCCCTATTTTGTCGTCCTGGAGGAGGTCCCACAGAAGAGTATTCCCAGGTTTGCAGACGGTTTCCAGGTTGAATTGTGCGTGTCTCGAGGACATGGACCTCTGCTGCTGCCTCAGGGCTCTTCTCCTGACTTGAGGAGGTCTGAAGACCGATCGCCTGATCTGCCCCAGTTGAGAATGATGATGATGTGCATGTGGATGATGGGGATGATGGGACTGATGGCTGTGGGAATGGTAAGCCTGCATCTGAATGGCAGTCAAGTGTCTGGCAGCGAGTTGAGCGAGCTCCTCCTCGCATCCACTCTCCTCTCCATCGAAGTCCGCCATATTCTTCTCACTTTTGTTGGAGATTCGGCTGCTGTAGGATCCCTCCTCGTCGGAGAGCATCTCGTCGAGTCCAGAGGGGAGGAATTGTTGGCCAGTGGCGTGAACCAGCCCAGCGAGCTCTGAAATAACAGCACCAGTTCCATCCACAGTTCCCACCACGATGCTTGCTGTCACGTTGTCACTGTCCTCGTCGTCGTGAGAGCTGTCCACTGATTCTGGGTGAGACACCAATGACATGTACTTGTCGGCCTGGTTTTTGGGGGCATTTCTCAGCAGAACACTTGAACTGGGGACTTGCTGGTCGTTGGGAGTCAGCAGGGACCTCTGGTGATGCTTGACACAGTCCAGGGTGTCCTGGATTTTCTCCTTAGGGCCATCCAGTGAGTTCATGAGCAGTGGCTTGTCCTCAGTGGTCAATCTCTTAACAGGAGTCTTTCTTTTTCTCAATACTTTTCTCTTCTTCTTCTCGTGCACCACTGGCTCTTCAGTGGCTGATTTTTCAGTGTCGGCCTCAGCATCAGAGCCACTCTGATGTTTATTTTTGAGATTATTCCCCTCGTCCTCAACTGGAGATATCACTGGGGTTTCAATCGACTGATTTTGATCCTCTGATATTTTCTCGTGAAACTCATCGACGTCGAGGTTTGTCATCGGTGTCTTGGGTTTGCAGTTGCCCTCGCAGTCACTACTGTCACCCCCTCTCGCCTGTTTCCGAGGAGATGGCCCCTCAGAAGGAGCTGGGGATGGCTCCTCCTCGTCTTCCTCCTCTGGGGAACTCCCATCCATGCCACTGGGGTCTGTACTGCTGCTCTCAATCCCCTCAGCCCCCTGGAGAGCAACATCCCTATTCTTCATCGACATTCCCATCCCCACGAGACCTCCAGGGTACCCAGAAGCCCCAGATGTCCATATGAACTTGATCAATGCTGACGCCAGGAACAGACTCTGCTCTGTGTGGTCCTTAGGCTCCAACTTGCCAAGAAGAGAGTACAGATGGAGGACAGGGGGTGGAGCGAGATGTTTCACCAGTGGTGCGAGGAGATCGTAGACCTGGCGAGCGCAGTGTTTCAACTGAGCAGCCTGCCAGATGATATCCATATCTGACGAGGATATCCTCCCCTCCATCGCCAAGAAGCTCAGCACAACGTGACTCTGCTTGATGACCTCCACATGGAGATTGGGACCGAAAATATGGGACACTATGCTATTCTCAGTGAGCCAAGCTGCCAGGGCATGTCCCACCTGCTCGACCTCGGCCACAGTCTCCGAATTGCAGAGTTCATTGAACGTTGTTATGTGGGCATTGATCTGTGCTATTCCTGCCAGTCTCATCGTCAATGTTGTGCTGGTGAAGTACTTGAAGGCCAGGTCCAGTCCATCGCGATCAAAAGTGGGAAGGACTGACTCGATGGGGTCTTTTATTGCACTCCACATGAAGTCTGCCATTGTCCTGACAGCTGGGGTGCGAAGTTCCTTGTCGTGCAGACGACACATGTACTTCATCACTCGTGACCTCAGGGGGACAAACAGCTGGATCACAGAGGCGTAGTTCAGCCAGAGTTTGAGGTTGCAGATGACAGCTACCATTGAGTGGGCAAGACCCACTGGGAGGGGCTCCTCCAGGTCGAAGCACGAGGACATGAGGTTGAAGCCACCCCTGTGACAGAAGATGGAGACTGCACGGATGAGGGGGGAGGGCACCTCTGGGTCGTGGGGCTCGCAGTAGCCCCCCTCGTCCTTGACGGGGGCCAGGGGGTTCAGGGCCCCTCCGTGCTTTATGGCGATGTACAGGGGGAAGTTGAGGAGGAATATCTTCGAGACGAGGTGGAACAGCTTCTCCAGGTCCTGCTGGGTCCATTTGGAGTCGTGCTGAGGGCCTTGAGGCCCTTTCTCTCCAGCTGATGACGAGGTGCTCGCCTCCTTTGCCTCGTTTTTCTTCACATCCTCTGGGGATTGCGAGGATTTCACTGACGAGCCTGACGACCCTGGGTCGGGACTCGGGGGCTTCTCCTCGGGCTTTGAAGCCTCCACTGGGGGCTGCGGGGCCAGGGGGGACTTCTTCTGGGGGATTGAGGAGAGTTGCTTGAGGGAGGAGAGGATCACTGCGTGCGTCAGTCGTATGAATCTATCCAGGTTGTTTGGCTCTCGATAGCAACACATGCACTGGCGCTGCACCCACTGGTTGACGTAGTCCAGGATCGTGTCGATGTCCAGAGGACTGAGGGAGTCATCTTGCTCTTTTGAGGCTCTGTCTTCATCTGGAAAACATTCACTCCATTTATTTCGAGGTTAATGCAGTTTTTTTTTTTATTCTGTGGAGACAATTCTCGTTATTCTATGGGGCAAAATGGACACGATATTTTTTTTCAATGTTTATAACTTGTGGAGAAGAAGAATTGTGTTTTCCCTGGGGAATAAATTATCCCATTTAATTGATAACTCAATGAGTGATGAGTATTTCTCATCGAAATGGAATGACGAATGCCCCCCCCCCAACAAGTGAAAAAAGTTGGGTTCATTGTCTTTACGATTTACTTAACTCGACAATGGAAAATATAAAATTTGTGTTCAACTGTCGACTTCATAACCAAGAAAATGGTATTCTCCTCTTGGTAATGTCCCAGGGACTCATTAACACGGTCTATGACACTGTTTATCCGTGAATGGTGATGACAATAAACTAATGAATGCTGAATAATTGGAGTAATAATCTTACAACAGAGCAGTAGATCGTGAAAGTCAGCACACACATCGCACATGATTTCCCTTCCCCTCGTGTTTGTTTAAATAAATTAACGGACCGACAATCACCTCGACGTTTCCATTACTCAATTATCGATGAATTCATGGTTTTTCACGTTTAACTACAACATTTGTTCAATATTTACTGAGGGGTGATTGAAAAAAAAAATCGCTTGGATTTTCTTTCTCTTGTTTCAATGGTCTTCAACAGTTGATTAGTATCACGGTCACCATATTGGTTTTTCGTGAAAATAAAATTCCCAACTCTTTTTGTTGTGGTTAAGGTGGATTTACATTGGAACTGTCATCGGGGTGGGGGGCAACCACCAATGGGGGGTTTCAAATTTATTTGTCGACGGAATTGTTGTTTGAATTTTATAATAATTATTTGACGAGTGAATCGAAAACCCAAAATTAAAAATGACAATTAATAATTTTCGATCAAAAATTGTTTCCTCTCTGAATTATTCGCTCGATTGTTCGTTCATNATGACGAATGCCCCCCGCCTAACAAGTGAAAAAAGTTGGGTTCATTGTCTTTACGATTTACTTAACTCGACAATGGAAAATATAAAATTTGTGTTCAACTGTCGACTTCATAACCAAGAAAATGGTATTCTCCTCTTGGTAATGTCCCAGGGACTCATTAACACGGTCTATGACACTGTTTATCCGTGAATGGTGATGACAATAAACTAATGAATGCTGAATAATTGGAGTAATAATCTTACAACAGAGCAGTAGATCGTGAAAGTCAGCACACACATCGCACATGATTTCCCTTCCCCTCGTGTTTGTTTAAATAAATTAACGGACCGACAATCACCTCGACGTTTCCATTACTCAATTATCGATGAATTCATGGTTTTTCACGTTTAACTACAACATTTGTTCAATATTTACTGAGGGGTGATTGAAAAAAAAAATCGCTTGGATTTTCTTTCTCTTGTTTCAATGGTCTTCAACAGTTGATTAGTATCACGGTCACCATATTGGTTTTTCGTGAAAATAAAATTCCCAACTCTTTTTGTTGTGGTTAAGGTGGATTTACATTGGAACTGTCATCGGGGTGGGGGGCAACCACCAATGGGGGGTTTCAAATTTATTTGTCGACGGAATTGTTGTTTGAATTTTATAATAATTATTTGACGAGTGAATCGAAAACCCAAAATTAAAAATGACAATTAATAATTTTCGATCAAAAATTGTTTCCTCTCTGAATTATTCGCTCGATTGTTCGTTCATATTTGAAGATTTTTTTTGTTTAAAAATTTAATATGTGAAAAAATCAATAAATCGCGATTGATGGGGTCTTTGCCTCTTTGTTCGATCATCCGGGAGAGGGGGCAATAGACCAATTGACGTTCAGACCAAAAGGCGCGGGAAAAGTTTGAATCTCACGGCAATTGATTTGGGAATTCAATGCAAACATCGGCATAACGATAATATTTAAATAATTTTTTTTATTGAATATAAAATAAGGGAATGATGTTGAACGATTTTGACATGATTAAATTTATTAATCAATTCAAGTCCATCGGAAAATTACATTATTCATAATTTTATTAATTTCTGATTTTCAATGAAGATTCGCAGATTTCAATTATTTTAAGAATAACTTCTTTCAATAGTAGCGGAATAATTATTATTTTGAAAACACTGTGGCTGTGTTAAAGAACGCAAAAAAAAAAATTCGACAGCAACTAAATTCATTTTCGAATTTATTATTTGTATTGTTAATAGTGCGGTAATAACGGTGATACGTCTATTCTGGAATGCACATTACGCCGCAGGTGTTTCAGAATCTGAAGATTCTTCGGCGTGTGTAGCTCCTTCACGAACGATGCACATGCAATACTTGGTTTTACCGACCATCGTCTGACACTCAGCTTCAACGTTTGCACCTGCAGGGCAGTCCCTCTCAGTGTCACAGTCACTCTGCTCCTGACACTCTGGAGAATGAAAATAAATCTGTGTAACGGTATTTCTAAAAATTCCGTATTTCTGCGACGGATATTTTAAATTCAGCAGTGAAGCGACAGAACGTTCAAGTAAATTTAGCCCTTGGCTGAGTTTTCGAGGAATATCTCCGAATCTAAGAGAGATACCGAAATTTTCGTAGAGACCTTTTTTATAGAGCGAGTTGAGGGCTATAGAAAAGGTCATGATAAAAATTTTGTTATCTCCCTTGGATTTCGAGATATTTATTGAGAGCTGATTAGACAATTCAGCAGCGAAGCGGTAAAAGGATTTAAGTCGAGTTAGTTCTTAGCTTAGTTTTCGAGGAATATCTCCGAATCTAAGGAAGATATCAAAATTTTTGTAATGACCTCTTTTATAGAACGAGTTGAGGGCTATAAAAAAGCTTTTAACACAAATTTTGCCATCTCCCTTAGATCTCGAGCTATTCAAGGTAAACTATTTAACTATTGACAATCAACTTCAACGTTTTTACCGCTTCGCTACTAAATTCCTAGAGGTGAATTAGAAATTCCCAGGGCATTATTCAATATCACCGAAAAGCTGGAATATTCCGCTGAAAAATTGACTAATTAATAACAAAACGACGAATTAATTCAGATTTTTTGGTCGACTTACGCCTAGCATGTACCACTGATGCAAAAAAGAATGTGACAGCCATCAAAGTCACTAATAGCGTGAAGGAGCGGTTCATCTTGACGGCGAATAACGACGTTAACTGTCCCAAGTTTTCCCTGCAGTCGAGTATTTGCGAGCCGATAATGCGTCCAGTTTTATCGTTATCGTTTCCCAGTTATCGAAATAAACACGCCAACAAAGTTGGAAAATGCTTGTTAAAACGGCTGTGGAACGGGAGTTGAGAGACAATTAGCGAGTCATCATAAAGGTGGATTACTGGAATGTAAAAATTTAATGCATTTAATGAAGAATCCCATCAGAGAGCAATGAAATAATGCGACGAACACTTGGTCCTCAGAGGCCGTGAGAAGCCGCTTGAGTTACGATAGCGGCTGACGATTACCGTTTTAATCTACTTGGAGGGGCGACAGGCATACGTGGCGGACTATTTGCCTCGTTGACTCACTGCCGACTCGCGTTTATTTTGACACAGGAGAATTCATTCTCATTCAATTTATTTCAGTAGCGAATCGGTAAAACGATTGAAGTCGACCTCGTTTTCGAGACTTATCTCCGAATCTAAGGGAGATAGCGAAATTGTTGTCGGAATATTTTTTGTAGCTCTCAATTCGCTCTACAAAAAAGGTCCTGACGAAAGTTTTGCTATCTGCCTTAGATTCCGAGGTATTCGTTGAGAACTGACTAGTTGTCAAAATCGACGTAAACTTTTTTTTTTTTTTTTTTTTTTTAAGCCCGGTGGCTTGGCGCAGTGGATAAGTTCGGAGATTCAAATATTTAGGTATTAAACACCCATCGGAGAAATTTCTTTATTTCTTGCAAAAAAATTCATATAAATCTATCTACTTCTAGTACAAACCACCCCCTTACAGATGACTTCGTCACAGATCCTCTTCGAGTTTCGTGAGCATGACATGCAATGTGGTGAAGAAGGAAAAGGTTTTCGACATGTACTGAAACAACAGGAAATCATTAATTTCCGAATTGCCCATTTCTTCAATTTGCGTTCAAATTCAATTAATTAATTCGCGGAGTTTGCTCTAACCGTTGCGTAATAATTCATGGATAATTCCGACAAGAGTCCCCCGACCGCAATCTTCGGAGGCTTTTGACATCTCTGGATCCCGAAAATTGCGATTCTGCTGAATTCCTGGGAATTTTGAATCCACGGGGAACTGTACAACGCCCAGCCGACCTCTTCGCACTGAATAATTACATGAGTAATGAATACGGAAATTGATTCAGATATGAATGGGAATAGCTCACCGCTGTTGTCAGACTCTCTGCAGCCCACGCGACACAAAGAAGCTCCAAGGAATATCCAATGTCAATGCCCACGAATTGAACTTTCTGATCGACTGGTTCATTCTACGGAAAAAAGTGTCACCGAATTTCCAATTGAAAGCACTCGGATTATGGGTCCCGAGCACACATCCCCCGGAAGAAAATTCCTCAGTAAAAAAAAATCCGGAAAGAATTCCTGGGAAAATCAGTCACCGTTTTTGAGATAGACCTACCCCAACTAGATGAATTCCTCCACAGGCAATGGATATCGTAGCCAATACGACTGTTGCTGCTACCACAGGCCGAACAGTTCTGATTGTTTCATCGATGTACCTCAGAAAAGAAATCATTCATTTATTTTCATCAATTTATTGCAGATTGTTTCCATTTTCTACATTATTTTACACCTCGAAAGCGACAGTTTTGGTCAATTATCAAAGCTATCACGGACGAAAAAATTTAATGTAAAAACCTATCGAATTCGTTAGAAAATTCTATTGAATGTTTTCTATTGAACATGTCAATAGAATTATCCAAAAACTAATGGAAAGTTTAATAGAAATTCAACAGAATTTTCTAACGAATTCGATGTTTTTTTATTAATTTTTTTTGTGCGTGATTCACCGCTATGAAAATGCGTCATATAGTCTAATATTCAACTCCTAATTTATATGTAAAAGAATTTTCAATAAAGGAGCACGTATTGAATTTGTTTCTGCTGTTAAATCAGTTGCGAAGCGGCCACAGCTGAGTTTTTGAAGAATATCTCCGAATCTAAGGGAGATGACAAAATTTTCGTAATTGCCTTTTTTGTAGAGCGAATTAAAAGCTACGAAAAACATTCTAACAAAAATTTTGTTATCTCCTTTAGATTCGGAGATATTCATTGAAAACTGGTGAATAGTCGAAGTCGACTTAAAAAAATCATTTTGTGAAAGATTTTTAACGAAGAGATGAACTAATTACCATAAAATATGCTGGTGTATACGAATGCACTCTTTGAGTTCTTCAGCGCTGTTGACATTTCTTATTTTTTCCGCGAGAAAATCAAGTCGAATTGTGGCGTACCAGAGGAGCAAACACCCCTGGCAATCGAAAGGGCCAGTACAGCCGCATTGAATAGCCCCTATCGATTCCAGTAGAAAAAGAATATCATAAGTTGGATGTTGGTACATGGGGAAGGGATACTCGGCTTCCGTTGGAAGCGACAGGTCCAGCGCTAAAGGACCGAGGATAACAGCTAAAGTTCCACAAAAAGAAACCATGTTGAATCTGTAGTGAAAGGGAGCGACTCGATTCACGTAGCTCATGAGTACTTTTCGCTCGTGGGGATTTGCGTTCTTCACGAAAATCTCCATTTCTTCGATCAAGTACTGTAACTTAAGGGCTTTATTGAATTCTAATGACCAAAATAATGTCAAGAAAACACAGAGAAAAATTATTTTTGCTTTTCAGAGACATGTCACTGAATTCACCGAAACTTCACCGCAATTTGGTGATTGATTTCTCGAAATTAGTGATAAGTCATTGAGAACATGTAACATGTGTCTGGAAATAAGCAAAATGTTGTATTGAAAAAATTTAACAGAAACCTGAATACTTTCTATTAATTTTCGGCTGATTCTATTCAAATTTTCAACATTCGATTTTTCTATACAATTTATTCTCTTCAGATATTTTCTCTACAATTTCCTCGGCTCAAATTTCCTAATTTTTTTCACTCTATTCTTCTTTTCCTCATCAAGAAAATCGAACAAACAACTTGGAAAATTAAGACCGAGGGAATTCTATAAAAAATATCTCAATAGAAATGCAATAGAATTGTCTAGCAAATTCGCTGGGTTTTTCTATTAAATTTTTTCATCCGTGTTCCATAATCACAGAAATGCTCACCTGAAACCGACGATAATGATATCTCCCAATCACCATTTTCACCACAACTTGAATGAGACAAACGGCTATACACAAGTGTTTGGTGAGTTGCATAAAACTGCTGCGTTGTTGATAGGCCGTTGCAAGCAGTGGACCAGCGAGGAAGACGGAGATGATCCAGGAAATCCACCAGCCGATTTGAAAGCTGATTTCCACGAGTCGCGATGCCGTCGAACTCGGCGGCCACGTAAACAGAATCCCCGTTGTCAATTTAGTGTATTGGATCGCAAACTCTGGAGTATATTCTTTGCCCATTGCGAGATTACCAAAAAAATTGAATCTTCTCGTCAACGGAACATTCGCTCAGGAGACGCCTTGAGCGAGTGCAAGATATCATAGGAAAGTACGAATAACTTGATAATAATCCGACGACTGATGGTGTCAGCACGCAACTTATGAGAGCGTAATGAAGTTGAAACAATTCGAAGACGGTTCGCTGTGAAGCGATATAAGGAGGAATAATTATCTCGTGAGAATACACAGCTGAAGGGTTGTGGTGATGTGGGGGAGAAAAGCGTAACATTTGTACAATTCCGAGACGACTATTAAAGTTATGAAGCAAGAGGGTCGGTACATCTTCAACAGCTTACAAAGTTAAACCCGACAATTATCGTCGACTTTAAATGGTCTCTCGAATGGTAGGGAATAGGTGCTCTGAAATTATTTCGACATTGAGAGACTTTGAGTAAAAATTCAATAACTCTGTGGTGTATTTCTCGGAATGATCATATAAAATTGCTCTTTATGACAGAAATTTTTGGATTAGACGACAATTTTCTCCATTCGGAATGCTAGAGTCCACTTTTCTAAAGCGGGTCTTCCATTTTTTGAAGCATCACACGAAGCGTAGTGAAGAACGACATGGTCTTCGATAAATACTGAAATGTGAGAGATTTATCTAAATGATAGAAATCGTAGAGCGAATGAGAGACGTCTCATTATCATATCGCTAATGAATTATTACCACGGCGTAATAATTCAGTGACAACTCCGGGATGAGTCCTCCAACAGTAACTTTTGGTATTTTATTCAATCTCTGCAGGACAATGACAACTGACCGGTTCGTTCTCTGAGATCTCTGTAACCAAGGAGAGTCGTACAGAGCCCATTTGACATCGTCCATCTGCAAGAAGACACGAGGCCCGATTTTTTATGAACGAAAAAAATTCCGGAAAGTGGTGATTACCGCTTTCATGAAGTTCTCCGCTGCCCAAGCGCTCAAGTAGAGCTCAAGGCCGTAGCCCACGTCGAGGCCGACGAACTGCGCTTTCACCTCCAGTGGCTCATTCTAGAAGAAAAATGAAGGACTCTTAGAATTTTTATTATATAAAGTTTAGTGGATGGGCAAGGGTTTTGCAAAGCTACCCCAATGAGATGGATCGCACCGAAAGCGAGGGATACAGTAGCCATTGCAACTGTCGTCGTGACTATCGGGCGGGCAACATTAATGGTTTTTTCGTTGAATCTGTAAACGTGAAGAAGAATGTAAGTAAAATTCTTTGGTTAAATTTAAACTTTGGCCGCGTTTTTAAGGAATATCTCCGAATCTGACGGAGTTATCGAAACTTTTGTAATAACCTTTTTTGTAGAGCGAATTGAGGGCTACAAAAAAGGTCATGACAAAAATTTGGCTATATCCCTTAGATTCGGAGATATCCCTCAAAAACTCGGCTGAAGCTGATTTTTACTGTTGGTCAGTTTTCGATGAATATCTCGGAATCTAAGGCAGATAGCAAAATTTTTGAAATAACCTTTTCGGTAGAGCACATTAAGAGCTTCAAAAAAGATATGTACGAAAATTTCGCTATCTCCCTTAGATTTTGAGATATTCCTCGAAAACTCAGTTAAGTCGACTTAAACCGTTTGACTACTTCGCCACTGATCGAAATTAATTAAAGTCTGTAAAAAACCTCGTGGTAAACCTCAATATACTTTGATGTACACGAATGCAAGCGTTGAGGTCGTCGACACTCGCAACGTTCCTCATATCGTCCGCCAGGAGTTTGAGTCGAGCAATAGTGAACCAAAAGAGCATGCATACTTGGCCATCGAGTGGTCCAACCGCGCAGCATTGGAACGCTACAATTGACTGTATGGTATAAACTATTTGAAAAATCGGGTAATAATCTATCGCGAATGGATAAACCGCTTCCGTTGGTAAATCTTGGTCCAGGACTAGGGGTCCACAGACGTAGGAGACCGCTGCTATGAACCCAATCACGTTCACCACGACGTGAACAGGCGCCGCTTTCCTCACGCAGGCATTTAACACTTCTCTTTCGCGGGGAATCGCACGTGCGAAGTAGTTCTCCATTACTGCAATTAATTCCTGCACATGATTAATACAATTGATTCAAGTAGTATGCAGTGACCCACACGGAGAAAATTTTTTAAGAATAATGTATTTAAAAATTAATTAACATTAACACTTTCACTAACATTAACATTAATTAACATCAACATTGTTAAATGCATTATTAATGCATTAATTAATTATTTTACCAATCAATAGTCGAATTCGCAAGACTGACGATTGTTTGGATAATCTCTAACTCTTTATTATCTCTAAATTATCAATTATTTTACTATTTTCTAAATTCCAATGATAAATGAATGAATTCAATTATTTTAAGGAACAAGTTCTCTTAATATTACTAAAATAACGATTGATGCCGATCGCTGCCCTCGCAAATATTTTTAAATTTCGTTCACCTGATATTCTCTCTGATAGCATCTGCACACAATCATCTTAATGATCCCATGGGAGATGGATCCCGCGAAGCAAATGTATTTCGTAACTTCCATAAAGTCATTTCGTGTCAAATAAGCGGTGTACAATATTGGAAGTTGAAAGGAAACCAATATAGAGCACAGAAACAGCCACTTAACTCCATTGAATTTTCTTTCCAGGCTCGAGGCTTGAGGACCCAACGGCCAGGAGCAGAGCAGAGTTGTTCCGTATTTAACGTAAGTTATCGCTAATTCCGGTAATTTTCTCTGAGCCATCACGGCACCATGAACAAATACGTATTATTCATGCGAATGTCGATCCATTGAGCTCTCATACTCGTGTAAGTCGCGATTATTTCGTCCCTCGGTTTAACAACGACAAGGATGAACTGGGGAAGATTCTTAAGGCTTTTCAAGTTTTATTTCGAATAACACTGAATAACGTAATTGCCGGTGATGAGACTTTGTTTGGTTTTATAATTTCATGGGCTGATGCAGGCGGCTTCGGCGCGTGGGTTCGTTAATAAATTATTATAGACAGTCGAGGGGGTTCGCACACAGTCGGGTTGAGTACTGGAAACTTTGTGAGAATATCAAACCTGCAGGCAGGTGAGGTAATTATATTCAACGTACGGAAAATTAATTTTCGAGGCATTGTTTTATCATGGGGTTGTGGAGGATATGCGGAGAGGTGATTTTATGGGGTCGTTATGGTGGGCAGCTGAGGTTTGTGGTTCCAGTTTATTTCCTGGTTTCTGGAATACTGGGATTTATGGAGGCAGAATTTATGGGGACAATCACTTTTTGTATTCGAGTGTTCAATTGTATTCATCTTTGATATTTCGTTCACAATGGGATAGGACAACAGGTTTCTTCGGTAGTAATTGTACAATAAATTTCATTGACTCGGTCTTTCCATTTTCTGGAGCATAATGCGAAGAGAATTGGTTAAATTAATCCAATTGTGATTTTAAATATTCTCCGTAATTGATTGCAATATCTGTTGTTTAAATTTATTTTGAAACCAATATTCAGGGAAAGGAAAAACACATTTTAACGTTGGGGCAATGTTGGCGTAAAGTTGGCGTAATGTATTTCGTTCACAAGGAGATAGAACAACGGGTTTCTTCGGTATTAATTGTACAATAAATTTCATTGACTCGGTCCTTCCGTTTTCTGGAGCATAATGCGAAGAGTTGTGAAGAAAGACAGAGTTTTCGACAAATACTGAAAAATGAGGGAATTATTTCGTGATTTCCAGGGACATCTCACTAATTTTCAGGGATTTTTATCTCTAATTTAAAGAAATCAATCACCAAATGTCAGGGATAAAAATGCCTGATGATAATTGGTTAATAGTTGGTGATAGGTTCCTGAAAATGTGAACAATTACCCCAGTGTAATAATTGAGGGATAGTTCCGGTATGAATCCGCCGACAGAGACTTTCGGTATTTTATTTAATCGCTGTAAGACAAAGAGAAACGATCGATTGGTTTTCCTGGTGTTGTCTGACCACGAGGAGTTGTACAAAGCCCATTTCAGGTCGTCCATCTGCAAAGGAACTCATGTAGAGTAATTCAGTAGCGAAGTGGTCAAATGGTTTAAGTCGACTAAGCTCTTAGCTGAGTTTTCGATGAATATCTCCAAATCTAAGGGAGATAGGGAAATTTTCATATCTATCTTTTTTGAAGCTCTCAATGTGCTCTACCAAAAAGGTCATAACAGAAATTTTGCTATCTGCCTTAGATTGTGAGATATTCGTTTGACTACTTCGCTACTGAATTAGTTTGTAAGTGATCACCGCCGTCATTAAATTCTCCGCTGCCCAAGCACTCAAGTACAACTGGGCACCGTATCCTATGTCGAAACCCACGAACTGGGCTTTGACTTCGAATGGTTCATGCTGAAAGGAAATTTCAGCTCTCATTATTATGAATGGACAGTCTACAGGGGAAAATGGGGTAAAACGAGTCATTTTTGCAATTTTTTTTATTCGGATGATATTTTTTTCTGATTTAAAAGAAGTAACAAGTACATTAGAATTTTTAATCCTTGAAAACTTGACATTATTTTTATTTGAATATTAATTATTTTGTTTGTTAAAACAGCGACCTGTTTTACCCCGCTCTCTTCTATACTGTATAATTAAATTATTTGAGAAGCTCTACCCCGATGACATGCATCGCACCGAAAGCAATGGAGCAAGTAGCCATTAAGACTGTCGTCATAATAATGGGCCGTGCGACTTCGCAGGCTTTCTCATTAAATCTGTAATCAGAAAAAAAATTAATTCACTTTCGTATCTGTAGAATAAATGATTGATAAATATAGAGAGTCGATGAAACGATTATTTCTCGTTGAGAATGAGTTTTTCCTTCCGAATGGAAGCATTGTACTCTCAGGATTTAGAATTTGCTTTTTTATTTAGTTTTTCAACGATAACTGAAGAAATAATTGTTTAAATTAATCCAATTGTGATTTAAAATATTCTTGTTAGTTGATTACAACATCTGTTGTTAAAAAAATATTTTTTGAAGTCAATATTCTGGGAAAGGGAAGAAATTTTAACGTTTGGGCAACATTAGCTGCCAACGCTGGAGCAATGTTGGCGCAATGTTGGGGCAGCGTTGGTGCAATGTTGGGGCAACGTCGGCGCAATGTTGAATTCAATGAATCATTGAATTAAATTAAAAAAACATCATCATAGAAATTCCATTCGGAAGCAACTTTGCTAATTTATTATCAAAAATATGTTGACTATGACGAAAGCAATGTCCCCGTTGTTTTCAAATGATTCCAGTTAAACTGAATGAAGATGAAACTTTGATAGCAAATATCGCATAATCAGAATAACAAATTCATAAACCTCAATAGACTCTGATGCACTCGAATACAAGCATTGAGATCACCAACACTCGCAATGTTCTTCATGTCATGGGCTAGGAGTTTAAGTCGGGCAATAGTGAACCAGAACAGCATACATACTTGAGCATCCAGGGGTCCAACGGCGGCACATTGCGTCGTTGTTATTGCTTGGGTGGTGTAAATTATTTGAAAAACCGGGTAATAACGTATTTCAAACGGATATATTGTGTCCATCGGCAGATCTTGGTCGATGACCAGGGGGCCACAGACGTACGAAGCTGCTGCTACAAATCCGATTATATTGAATGACAGGTAAACGGGCGCCGCTTTTTTCACACAAGTATTCAGCATTTCTCGTTCCCGGGGAGTTGCGCGCAATAAATAATCTTCAATTTCTTCGATTAATTTCTGGACATGGAAATTAATATCCATAGGGGAGGGTGGGGCTAAATGGGATAGCGCGGGTGAAACGGGATAGTCCAATTTTGCACAAAAAACATTAGGAATTTCTTTAAATCATAAATAATTTATTAAAACGGATAATGAGTGTAGAAAACTCAGTGACCAAGTGATAGAATGATGCCGAATTATAATATTCGGCTCGAAACTAAATGATGGTATCCCATTTTGCCCTACCCTCTCCTATATTTTTTTTGTAATTTGAATGTATTCATATATTTAGGCAATCACGTGTGAAAACAAATTTAATAATAGAAAAAATTCGATAAATTTTCGTTTTTTTCTCACAATTAAATTCAAGAAAAAAAACTAAGGAAAATCATAATTTTTTTAATCGAATTGCTATAGAAATTGTATTGATTTTTTTGGGGACAGTGCAAGGTTTTTCTACGAAATTTTTTCACGCGTGATTACCTGAAATTTTTTTCGATGATATTTGCAAATAATCATCTTGATTATCGAGTGGGCAATCGCCGACCCGAAACAAATGTACTTGGTAAAGTCCATGAAATTTCGTCGCGTCAAATATGCAGTATAGAATACTGGAAGTTGAAGGCACCACGCTACTAGGTACAATAACCACCACCTCACTTCGATGGATATTTTTTCCGCGCTCGTAGCCCGAGAACTCGGCGGCCAAGTGCAGAGTAGCGCTGTTCCATATTTGAGATAAGTTAGCGCTAATTCGGGTAATTTTTTCTCATCAACCATCACTGCGCGATTAATAAATCCGTCTCATGCGTGTCAATGTCGATTACTCGATGACTCATTCTCGTGTAAATGAAAATTATTTCATGCACCTGGAGTTTAAATACGGAAGGGGTGAAACTGCAAGAAATAAGATTCGTATGTGCTACATTGACGGTTGTTTTGTCTTATAATTTCTCGGAGATACCACCGTGATTCGTCAATAAATTATTATAGACAGTTGCGGGGTTCGCACATAGTCGGGTTCTGAGTTGTTAACTCGTGAGAATATCAAACCTGCATGAAGGAGAGGTAATTACTTTAACGTACGTAAAATCAATTTTCAAGAAGTTGCGGTTTATCGCGATACCTTTGCGGAGGTTAAGGAGAGAGTGGGCCAACATGAACTTGACTATTTTTTAAATTATCAAAGTTTTTTAGGAATATCTCCGAATCTATGGGAGATAGCAAAATTTTTGTCACCACCTTTTTTGTAGCCCCGAATCCGCTCTGGAGAAAAGGTTATTACGAAAATTTTGGTATCTGCCTTAGATTCGGAGATATTCCTCAAAAACTCAGCGAAGCGATAAATCGGTCCACGTCGATTATAACTGTTGGCCAGTTTTCAATTAATATCTCGAAATCTAAGGGAGATAGCGATATTTTTGTTATTACCTTTTTTGTAGCTCTCAATTCCCTCTACAGAAAATGTAATAACAAAAATTTGGCTATCTGCCTTAGATTTCGAGATATTCATTGAAAACTGACCAATAGTCAAAATCAACTTCTGAGTTTTTGAGGAATATCTCGGAATCTAAGGGACCTGGTCAAATTTTTGTCAGGACCTTTTTTGTAGCGCTCCATTCGCTCTGTAGAAAAGGTCATTACAAAAATTGCGCTATCTCCCTTAGATTCCGAGATATTCATTGAAAACTCGTTAATAGTAAAAATCAAGTGGAACTGTTTTAGCGCTTCGCTTTCAAATTGACCAATTTCCCGCTCAAGTGTTGTTGACAGATGGCGCCCCAGCGCTTTTCCGCATTTCTATATTTTCCGTGCGTTCGTAAATACCCGGAGCTCACGGAGCTCACCGAGCACTTCCAGATTTTCGTGATCACAAAACTCGGGATTTGTAGTGAAAAAGTAGTGGGGGAAGGAGGCAAAAGAGAAAATTATGACAAAGACGCAGGGAGACGCACGTACGTGAGTGTCTGTGTTTTCTGGAGAATTGCGTGATACTGAGTGCGCCCTGCGTATCCAGCCCTCCAGATTTTCCATAATTATTCACAGATATTCGATTCAGTGGCATGTGATTGTCGTATTATTATCGGTGATACGTTACGGTGAATATTGTGGAATGGACGACCGCCTTTTGGAGCTGATGTTTGGGTACATGGAGATGAGAAAAGTGTAGGAAAATGCTGGTGAGTACACGAGTCTCCCTTGAAATATTTTTCCCACCTTATCTCGTATTATTTATCCCCCGGAGAGCAACAAAACCGTAACTTCAACTCTTTATCGTTGTCCAAACATTGATTGAGAGTAGAATCATCAGTTCGCTCCAAATCCCTGACCATCAGAATTTTCGGAGTGTAAATAATTGCCGAGAAAATAATTCCCCCGAACTATTCCCCATTGACAAAACAGTCAAGAGGATCGATGTATCAATTCATCTCTTTTATTCACTCTAGAATTTCGATGAACAATTAATTGTTGATTTTTTAAATCCTCAACATTCGCCATTTTATTGGCAGTGGAATGTTCCCTCCATAATTCATGACTACTTGATTATCTCTCATTAAAAAAACCATAAAAATCCTCACAACGACTCGACTACTCACATTATTCCAAATGAAGAAATCATTTTCTTCAAATTCGTTGAAGGGTGACGATCCACCGTACCTGTCAGTGGGTACCGAAGTGAGTGCTAAATACAAGGGTGCATTTTGCGAGGCAAAAATCCGAAAGGTCGTGCGCTCAGTGAAATGCAGGGTGACGTACAAACAGGGTTTGGGCACAGCCACTGTGACAGACGAGCAGATAAGGGGTACCCTGAGAGTTGGTGCCTCTGTTGAGGCTCGACACGCCGACAAGAAGGACTTTGTCGAGGCGACAATAACAAAAATCCAGGACTGCAGTCAGTACACTGTTGTCTTCGACGATGGAGACATAACGACACTGAGGAGAACAGCACTGTGTTTGAAGAGTGGTCGACACTTTGCTGAGTCTGAAACCCTGGACCAGCTGCCCCTGACCCATCCCGAGCACTTTGGCAACCCCGTAATCGGAGGGAGACGAGGAAGACGCTCGAGGCAAGCACAGTGAGTTTTTTCTCACCAAATTGACATTAATCAGACGACTAATCCCATGTTTCTCTGCTTTTTTATTCAATTTTTTGTTAATTTTTTTCTTTTCGCTTTGGGTTGCCTTCCGACAGGGATGACAGCAGTGAGGATGAGGAGAGTCCGCCCAGAGGGAGTCCATCGGGCTCGGGAATTGGAGGGAAAGAGGGTCTGGAGACAGAGCCTGAGATTGGGCGAGTCGTCTGCGTAGAGTTGGGAGACAAGAAGAAAAAGGACAACTGGTTTCCAGGACTCGTTGTCGCTCCAACTGCCCAGGACACCGTGAGGATCAGGGTGAGGGACGACTACCTCGTCAGATCGTTCAAGGACGCCAGGTACTACACAGTTCCCAAGAAAGAGGCCACAGAATTTACGAAAGAGCTGGGAGTGAAGGTCGAGAACAGCACTCTGAAGCTGGCTGTGGAGAAGGCCCTCCTCTTCCTCGAGAAAAACGAGCTGCCCCCCCACTGGGACAGAGACTCCCTCTTCGGGAACTCTCTGTCGAGTGGCAACAGCGACACAGACGGGGACTTGGACTCAGACAGCTCTGACGACGAGCCCCGAGAGGAGAAAGACCACTTCGTAGCGCAATTGTACAAATTCATGGACGACAGAGGGACTCCCATCAACAATTGTCCCATGATAGGCTCCGAGGACATCGACCTGTATCGTCTCTTCAGGGCTGTCTACAAACTCGGTGGCTACAACCGTGTCACCAATCAGAATCAATGGAAATCCATAACTCGACGACTGGGATTGTCGACTCATGCAAACCTCAGTACTCACAATCTCGTGAAACAGGCGTACAAAAAATTTTTACACTCGTTCGAGGACTTTTACAGGAAACTTGGGTGTACGATGGTGAATCATCCACGAGGAAGCACGAGGAAGCAGCGCCCTGGTAGGAGTTTGATCAGGGATAAGGACAGAAACACACCGGTCCCCCCTCTGCTGCAGAAATCTGATAAAGAGAGAGAACCAGATGAGGATAAAAAATCAATCCCAGAGGAGGAGAAGAAGCCAATTGTCCCGGCAGTGTCTCCAGTGGAGGACGAGCCCCCGAAGCAATCTGTGAAGAAGAAAGAACCAATTGAGGAGCAATTCATCTCAGGCCCAGAGTCTGACGTGAATATCGAGGTGGAGAGCACAGCGGAATCCTCTAGCTCTGAAAAATCCCAAAAACCATCGAGATTCACTCCAGTTCCTTCCAATCGATCGAAAGCCATTACGAAGCCTAAAGAGGAACCTAAGAAGAAATCACACGAGAAGAAGAAGCAGGAGAACGCCTCGTCGTCCTCGTCGACGTCGTCCCAGTCGAGTTCAGGTGCCTCAACAGCGCCAGTTATGAAAAAGGAAAAGAGCAAGGACGAGGACTCGACGAAGACCCGTTCAAAATCAAAGGAAGACACAAAGTCGAAGGAGTCCAGAGAGACACGTGAGACGTCTCGAGAGTCTGAGAAAACCCGAGGGAGCTCTACGAAACAGCGTAGACTGATGGAGGACGATTTGAAGAAGCAGCAGAGGGGGAGAAAGAAGAGGAAGGACAGTGAAAAGTCGAGGGACAAGGACGACAACAGTGGGACTGAGTCGTCAGCACCTTGCTACAAGGGTCCAATCCAGCTTGGGGATCGTCTGAAGGTGTATTACGGTCCCACGCACGAGTCCAAAGTCACTTACGAAGCTAAAGTCATTGAAATCCAGCGGATGGACGAGGGCGCAGAGCTGGACTACCTCGTGCACTACACAGGCTGGAATACACGGTACGACGAGTGGATAAAGGCCACGAGAATCGCCCAGAATTTTACCCAGACGCAGGGACGAGTCAAGAGGACGAAAGCAACTCCCAGGCCCCAGACACCCAGCACCAACTCGAGTGCAAAAGGCTCGAAGACTCCGAGTCTTCAGCAGACAGGGAGGAGAAGAGCTCAGAGTGTTGCACCCAGTGGCACGAAAAACTCCTCGTCAGGCTCCTCCACTGGGGGATTGTCGTCGTCCTCGGCTTCGGGGAATGGCAAGGAGAAGGACAAGGATAAGGATAAAGAGCCAACGAGATCAACGACTCCCCTCTCGGTCGCCAGTTCGGGTTCAAGAACGAAATCACCAGCGACTCCAGCGAGCAGACCGACTCGAAACGCCACGAGGAATGCCGAGCAAATGGGGATTGAATTGAGGACGAGAAGAACTCGGAGAATGTCTGGGCACACGGATCTGTCGGTTGCCACTGAGAGTGAGGACTCGGACGCCTACGAAACTGATAACACAGAGCCAGAACGAGCGAGGACAAGATCACGGGGGACTGAGGAGCGAAGGCGACGAGAGGTGAGGCGAAGGGTGGAAGACAGAATAAAGCCTGACGAGAACTCCGAAGTGGAGGACGAGAAGGATCCCAGTGAAGAGGTGCCCAGGAGAACAAGGCGGTTGAGGCGAGCAGTCAAAAAAATACAGGACACAAAGTCAGAGGAGGCAGAGAGTGGGAGTGGACTGTTCGCTGATGAGACTGATGAACCAGAGGAGAATGAAGAGGACAATGATAACGACGAGGACGAGCCAGAGGAGAGTGAATCGGTTCCCGATGCGTTTGAGAAGCCCTCGGGCCACGAGGAAGCTCCCAAGGGCCGAGACTTCGATCTCAACCAAATCAGATCTGAGTTGAAGGGATTTGACAAGGCTGTCAAGCTGGAGGTCATCAGGATGGAGCCCGAGAACTCGGGTGACGAGGACATCAAACCCAAAGTCGAGGATTTTGAGAAAGAAATCAAGCTTGAGCCTAAAGAGATCAAGAAAGAGCAGGAGGAAGAGGAGGAGGAGGAGGAGGAGGAGGAGGTGGTGAAGCCAATTGTCGAGGAAGTTGTCGCTAAACCTCCGGCTTCACCTTCACCCACTACTGAGGACGTCTACGAATTCAAGGAGCCCGAGCCCTTCGAGTTTGAAGTTCGAAACAAGCGAGACTCGGGGGCAGATAAAGATAAAACTGGGCTGAAGAAGAGGGTCTTCGATGAGGAGCCAAAGAGCCCCAAGAAGAAGCAGAAAACTGCTCCACCTGTTGCTCCGAAGGAGATAAAACAAGAGCCGATGCCAGTGGCGTCAGTATCTGCAGCTCCGTCGATCTCTAGTCCTGTGGAAATTGAGCCGAAGAAGAAGCCAAAGAGATCACCGGTGATAAAACGTGCGGAGGATGCTGAAACCCCTGAAACCAGTGTCATAAAGTCCTCCTCGAAGGAGTTTGATAAATCCCTCGATGCGAAGCCAATTGCTCCAGTCTCTTCAGCAGTAACTCCTTATATCCCTGAAGATGCCACGAAATCAGCTGTCAACTCAGACATTTTGTTCCTCAACATACCAGGGAACGACGAAAGCACTGCTGATGGAGACGATTTAGAGGACAGGCTTGTGATTTCAGAGTCAGAGATCACAGAAGTCGATGAGAAACCCGTCCTCACCTTCCAGCTGTCGTCGTTGGCGTCACCAGAGGCCGACAAGATCGAGCCTGCGATCAAAGAAGAAAAGAAGGAATTGCCATTGACGAGTAAGGAGAAGGAGGAGAAGATTCTGATTCCTGTGAGCCTACTCCCAAGTCCGCTAATTGTGTCGACGTCTACAACTGTCATCTCCAACACGACACTGTCAGCGACATCAGCGATTGAGCGAAGAATCCTCGAGGCCAAAATTCCGTCTGTTGTGGCACTGAGCCCCAGCACTCCACTGGTGCCAGCACCGATCAGCGCTAGACTCCCTGCGACCTCCACCATCGAGGAGAAACTCTCAGCAGCAGCTTTGGCCTTTAGACAGCAGAAGCCTAAGGACTCGAAACGAGAAGAAGATGCAGAGCAGAAGCGACGGGACAGTCTCAAGAAAAGCGAAAGTGCAACAAAACGTGGAAAACAAATTAGTGAATCGGTGGATGGACACGGTTCGAAGCAGCAGAGACCTGACGACAAGAAGAAAGATAGTGAAGACATTTGCTCGAGCGATGTGTTGAGAGCAACGATGAAACACAAAGAGGAGGAGTTGGAGCAACCGAAAGTCCGAAAAGATCCAGGGGACGCCAAAGTTCTTGATCACCGTCGAATGCTGGAGAAACGCCAGATAGATCCGCTGAAGGAGATCTCCGAGTCCACAGAACTGGAGAAGCAAAAACGCAAGAAAATGGTGGCCCAAGAGTTCCTGGACTCCACAGACTCCAGTGATTCCGAGCAGAAACTAGTGATCGACAATTGCGAGGAGAAATGCGACAAAATCGTGAAGACTGAGAAGCCAGACGTCTCCTTCGACCTGACGGTAAAACCGAGTCTGGAGTCGACACCAGACCCGAGTTATCAGCTGGAGAAGAGTGGCCTGTCGACAGTTGTTGTTAAACACGAGGAGGAGGGTGAGAACATGAATTTGCTGTGTGAGGAGGAGATTCCGGGCTCTCCAGCCCCGGCGATGGAGGTGTTGGAGCAGGAGGATCCCAGTGAGCGAGGCCTGGGGAAAGACAAGCTCGAGAAGAAGATTGTCATCCTCGAGATGCCGTTTGCCAGTGCTCCGACCTCCGGGGCCCAGAGCACGAGCCAGGGCTCGGGTTTGTCGATGACTGTTGCGAGTTCCTGTGGAGTCCAGGGTGCCTCCAGCCATGGGATATTGACTGGGGGTCGACAGCAGCCGGTGCAGGCGCAGGTGCAGCAGGTGCAGGGGGGAGTGCCGGCTCTTCAAGTCATTCAGAATCAGAACAGGAGAGAGAGCAATGAAGCTGCGCCTGTTATGGATAATACACCACCGACCACACCTGACTCCACAATCTCCAATGTATCAGAGTCCCCCAGGGGCGAGGAGAGGGCTGGGGGATCCTCTCCGACGTCCGAGGACACCGCTAAAAGCAGGGAAGAGGGCGAGAGCGAGGAGGTCAAGGGAGGTGGGTTCAACGACGGTCTCGAGGAGACTCTCGGGGTGGATGAGGCCGGGGACATGCAGGGGACTGAGGGCGGCAAGATGAGTGGCCCTCTGAAGAGGCCTGTCGAGGACCCTGGAACCCCCAAGAAGAGGAAGAGGAACAGGAAGAACTCGGAGTGCGGAAAGGAGAAGAAGGGGAATAGGACCAGTGGAAGAACCACAAGGCAAGGACCTGGGGGCAGCGACAGCGATGACACTAGTGAGGGCTCCAATGCTGGTGGCAGTGGACATGTTGGAGGGGCTGAGGCAGTCCTCAATGGAATGGGTGAGACCTTGGGCAGGGATCACAAGTCGTTGAAGTACAACTTTTTCGTGGATCTTGGTAAATTAATCTCTTGTTCAAAGCTCATTCTCTTTTATTCTCCTAAAAAATGGGGGTCTTAATCAATTTGGTTTCGCTTTTTTGGCTCGTCTGCAGATCCTGAACTCGATGGATGCCAGAGAATAGCTCTTCTCCAGCAAAAATTATCGGAAATCAAAAAGACTTATAACATTGTGAAAACTGAACTTGCTGCAATCGAAAGGAGGAGGAAGAAGTTGAGGAGAAGAGAACGTGAAGGTAAATGGATTTGAATTTATTGCCGAGTGAGGAGACAATACTTGGAAATAGTTTGAAATTACGATACAATTCATCAATTTCCAGCTAAAAAACTCTCAATAGCAGCTATGAAAGCTGCCAAAGCCGAGATGCAACAGGCCTGTGCTTAAATGGAATTAAAAATTATCATTTGGACACAATAAATTAGTGGAAATAAGGAGAACTCTGTAAATAATGAAATTGAAGTTGTTCACAATTTCAAGCGCACTTTGAAGCAAAGTTTATGAACTTTGATTCTTCTACCCATTATTTCGTTACTTTACTATCACTATTGTCTGTTGGTAATTGTAGATATGGGAGCAGGGAGCAGCTAATTGTCCATCGCCTAGCGTTGACGAATAACAAACTCACGAATGTGATTGAGTTGATGAATGAGAAAGTAAAAATCTTGCAATCTTTGCGAATTAAAAAGTTGACTGTATAGAATGCAATTTAAGAACAATTTATCTAGTTCATAAATCCAAGTGAAAGTGTAAATTTTGTTTGATTTATTATTTTTTTTTTGTTTGGAGGTACTGTAAATAATTATATCTCGTGTTTGAATTCCAAAAAAATTTATCAGTTTGATGATCACTTTGTTCTTTAGGTGAAATGTTTTCGCAAAGATTGCATTCGAAGTTTTCATATTTACAATAGAGGATGACAATTAGCTCAAAATTTAGGTAACATTGAAAAAAAAATGAGATAAATTCTCTTTTTATTCTCGTACGATATTTAGATCATAGTCGTGTGAATACTTTTGATTAAGAGTTTCCTATTTACAGTTTATCATACGAAAGAACAAAACAATCGTGGAATATTACGTGTTTAGAGTACACATTAGGTGTTGAAAGTGTTTTTCCAAGAATGAAAATGTTGAGGAATGCTAAATGATGGTGGATAAGTGTAAAGAGCATGGAATAATAAATGGTAATTGAAGGAAAATGGCTGAAAGAGAGTTTTATACAGCAATTTAATTTTATTACATATTTACTTAGGGGATTATGAGTATTTTAAAAATGTTTTTTTTCCGAATACTCCCTTCTTACATAAAAATACATTATATGATACAGTAATTGTACAAATATTATTGTTATCGTACACAAATGTTTTTTACTTCCTGAACGAAAAAATTCTAGCTAATGGACACAGATTAGTTTTTGATGATTTTAGAGTTGATGCGGTGATTCGGGATTTTTTGCGATAGAAAGAGGTGAATTGGATAGTTTAATCTTCTCTTCACAATAATTTCCCTGGCTCTGAAATGATTAAGTACACAATCATAACAATTTCAACTCCAAATTTTAATGAAACATTTCAGTTTGATTTCACTCCATTACTTGATCTACTCACAATGGCATTAGTCATAATAAATTTTTTACAAAATTTCTCCAAGAATTACAGTGAAAAATCAAGTAAAAGTCTTGACAATCTCCTATAAATCGAAGAAAAAAAATCCAAAGAAAAATCGTCGCCTTTCGAAAATAAAATTTGATTTATAGAAAAGAAAAACATTATGTTTGGCAAGATGCAAAATAAAGTGAAAAATAAATCAGAAAATAATGTGCACGTTATTTTTCGACATTTTCTCCCCAACGAAATCAATAAATTCACCTATAAAAATGATAATTATATGTTCTCGATGATTCAACAGCTTAAATTATTACACAAAAATTTGAAAATACAAGGACTTATGAGACTCGATTGAGCGAAAATTATTATCGATCATTTCTCATGATTTAATTAGGACAATGTGTCAACATGGAGGGGAATTTGAGGCTGGCGCAGCATCCACTGTGACAGAGCTCGTTGTCGTTTGCTCAGGGACTTCCTTCATTTCTGAGTCCATTCCTAATCGTTTCCTCGCGAATAGTATTTTTTCCATGAGCTTGTGGTGGGCCTCCAGTCGTTCGATGCAGTGTAGGCAGGCAGTTTTCGGCAGAGGATCGTTCATTTTAATCTGGAATAATAATTTCACAGTAATATTTTCATTTTCATTCGCTAAATCATCAGATAATTTTGTTTATTCCAAGGATTCCAGTCGAAAACACTCCATTCATGACTGGGAATTCACCAGTAAATTCCAGATAATGTGACGAGATGTCCAATAAAATCAATTGGAATGATTTTTCCAAACACGGAATCCATTTTGAAAACAATCAAAATTATTAATTTGACTGTTTATATGGGAGAGTGATGTTGAAGATGTTTTATTAAAGTATTCACCAGGTGAAAGCTGAAGGGAATACAAACAATTTTCTCACCTCAATCGGGAGATAGGCATTAATTTTCTCAGCGAGTTTCATCCTCTCGCCCTCCTCACCGTAAATATGAATAACAAAACGATTCATTTTACTACAGAGTCTGCATATGAATCCAGTAATAACAGCTTTATCGGTGCTCCCCATTTTTGAAAAATTTTTATTAAAAAAAAAATAATTGTTCACTCCCACGCACCTCGGCTGAAACGTCTGTCACAGTGACACAAAAGTCTTCGTTTTTTCTTCCTCCACTCAAAATAAACTTTACGAACCCTGAATTCCTCGAACTCTGCCCCCCCAATCGCCGATAGGCACCGGGAAATTATCGAAAAGTGGGTGGAAATGTGGTGGAATAAAATTCGTCAGGACCCGAGAGTTTTTCCATTTATTTTTCCGCAGAGGAACCGAAGATTTGTTTATTATTATACGGAGCTTAGGGAGAGGATTTTTGATGTCTTTTCGGGTGCTTTGAGGGGATTAAGGTAGGTTTTCATGTGGGCATTTGACAAGGGATAACAGAGACATTTTATTGGTGTTTTCCAGCTGCTGGTGGGGGACAGTGGACGAATGGTGCTGCAGCTGGGAAAAGTCGAGGTGTCCACTGGTAGATGGACCCACGAGGGCCTTCAACAGCGGGTAATTATCAGCTGTACTCAAGACCCGATCAATTAGCCCCTCATGTATAGATATTCCAAATTTTTATTTTTTTCCTCATTGAAGTAGTTTTAAAGAAAATTGCGAGCTAATAAAAAACATTTGCTAGTTAGTATATTTTTTTAAATAAATTTTTGAAAAATCACCCCTGAAAAAAAAGGCGTTATCCCCCCTATTTCATTATTTCCAAAAAATTTTGTCACCAATCGGTAGCAAATTGTTAGAAGATTTTTGCGAGTTAAGAAAAAATCGTCAATACACTCCTATTATTCTGTAAATTAACAATTCCAATTTCAACTGAAAACCAAAGTTGATGACCAGAATTTGTAGCAGAGATGTCAGACAAGATATGAATGTTTTTTTTGGCTCAAATGAAAGAGCGGGTCGAGAAATGGCGTGC